ATCATGCAAATACATCAATAAATCCTTATGAGATGTTTCCATATCTCAAGGGTCAGTCAGAGGGTATATTATTAGGCTCACGTGTGATTCCAAAGCCTAACAGAAGAACAAGGCATTACCATGTCTCTCCTCTCGCTTTTTTAAACATCACAAATAATTTTGAACAAGTCACCTAATTCGAATGTTGGATTAAATTCTTATTCAATTATTACCTGCTCCAAACCCATTTCATAGAATGGTGTGGGTTGGAAAGGACCTTAAGATCATCTAATTTCAACCCCCCTGCCATGGGCAGGGACACATCCCACATTTCTCTAACTCAAATCTAAAGCAGATTTTCAGTGTTAATAAAGAGTGCACACAGAGAAACACTCTGAAGCAAAACAAGCCTCTTAACTCTGCAACATCCACACGCAGTGTCTCCAGTAGAATCCAATACAACCACCACTGTGCTACTCACCAACAAATCCTAGCCATGCCTGGGCCCTACCAGATGCAAACAGTGCTGTATAGTCAAGCCACCTTTAAAGAGCTATTTCCTTGGTGCAGTTATTTGAAATGATTTGTTGTCAAGGCTGCACTGGGATCCCCACTCCTTAATAGCTGCCTTGACTTTAGGAAGCCAGCAGACACACTTTCAAGCATGAAGGTTGTTAATACTAACAACTCATAAAGAAGGAGGAAAATACTTGCAGGTTCGTGTTCTAGCCATAAGGTAATTGCTAGTCAGCTGGTCTGGTTTTGCTACCCTGTGGCTTAATCAGCACTTAAAAAAGGTAATGAACCCTTAGGACTTTCTCTTGATCCTGTTTTAGAGCTCTGCCATGGCCATTCACACGGGTCAGAAATCAACCCTGTTTGGCTCAGTATTTCCAAGTGTTGCTCTGCATATGCCAGAATTAGTGTGAATACCTTCCATATGCATATTCATGATTATTAAAGCAAAGTATGATTTTTCATGATGCTGGCTCATGGGAATCCTATCATTGCCCTGAGACAAACCCATTCACTTCAATGAGATCAACACAGAAATGACATGACCATAAGAGCCTAATCCCAAGAGAACAGAGAATTGATTTTATATTAGGGTATGGATGTTTTAAATATGCAGCCAGGAGGAGAAGGAAAACAGCATTATCATCCAATTTGTCTATTATGGAGTTTTTAGTGGTTCTTTAATTAAATGTACTTAAGTAAAATTTTTATTTTATTTTATGTTTGCATGTCTTCTGGTGCCTCAAAGCTGCCACGACTGTAAGATGTATGTTTTTTCTCCCCTAGTTTGAAGCAATTGGCACAGGCTGTTGCATCATGGTATGAAACTCTCATTTAGTAACAGGATTTTCTAAGAAGACCTATTCTTTCTTATAATATTTGTTCTCTTACTTCACTTCTTGTAATCTTCACAGCAAACTCTGCTTATCTACCTTACATAAATTTTTTTTAATTCAGCTCTCTGTATTAAATAACCTCCTTTCTTGACTGTTTTTTGAAATCTCAGTGGTATGTCATGCAGAGAAGTTCATATTTATTTTCCCACTGGTGCAATGCCTGTAAAAATGTTCTGTAAGCTGCTAAAATTAACTTCAGCAATTGCATTAATTGGAATCTGGGCTATCAAATAGAATGATTCTTAAAACTTCTTTATCCAGATTTTCCTTTGCACTCGTTGTTTATTATGGCATCATTTGTGAAGGTCATCCTAACCTTATGGGAGAACCAGACAACCCTAATTATATTATTTTTTATTTCTTTTCTAAGTTGATGCTATAAAATAATGTTATAAAAACCTTTCTCACAGAAAGCTGCCCTCAGCCTTCAAGAACAGAAACAGAGTATTTTCAACCTAATTTGTATTTTATGATTTTAAAATATGCTGAACTGACATCTCTGGAGGCTGGGGTCTGTTGTTTACACAGAGAATAAGGACATCAGAAAGAAACAAAACAGCAGAAGCTTCCCATGGCAACATGCCTTGAAACTGTCTTTGAACCACCACCTCGAGGGGTGGCAGCATTTCAGTTTCTGTGGCTAATTCAATCCTGTGGCTTTCTGATGAGGCTTCTAATGAACAAATATAACTGTAAGATTGTTTTCTCATATATAACATCTCTCCAGTACGTCTGGTAGGCAGGGCACTGACCCACCGTCATGAGGTAATGACTTCCAGTTGGTTACTGTACTTCTAAGTGTCAAATTTTATCCTTAAAAACCTCCACTGAGTAAAGGTTAAGCACAGAATTAAGTTCACTCCCTTCAGATCATCAGAGGAACTCAGCTGTTATGAACTTACCATGTACCTTAGCTTTCTGTAGTCCATTTCATCTCCCACTGAACAAATTCCTTCCTACTAGGTCTCAGCTGACTTCAGTAATATCTGGATATATCAGTGACCCTTCATATCTTCAACAAACAGATATTGATGTTTCCATTTGCCTTTTGTTGGATGACTCACTGCTTATTCCTCCTCCCAGTTTATAGTTCTGCTGGTTACTCTCAGAGTTCAAACTCTTCTATGTCATTAAGATCTAACTAAGCTCTCTGCATACCAGATACAGCCATGCTGCTCAACAGTTACAAAAGGTAAAATGGTTCATATGAACATGTCAAAATGTCTAATTTTTCCAACTATTTCTTGAATTTAACTTAACCTTTTCCATATTCCTGTTTCTGTTTTCCCCTAGTTATAAATGACTTTAGCATTCTTTTTACTTCACTTCTGTCTTTTTTTTTATTATGGGAAAAAAAATCCTTTGCCCATGAGAACTTTCTACTTGAACCACAGAAAATGTTTACAGTGCAATTGCATATGAATCTTGTGGGTTTCTGAACATGTACTTCAGGTCAGGTTCACTAATATCTTTGCTAAATGCTAGGTAAGCCTGACAAGACTTCCAGTTCTGCACTGAAAGCAATGAGACATACGCAATATAATGCACAGTGAAAATAACTCTTTTCAACTGAGTTGTACTTTGATGTCCATGAATAGACTGACTACCAAGCTCAAGGCAAAAACCAAAGGATGTGTGTGGGAGCCTGAAGATTGAAGGTGGAGAATCAAACCATCAGATAATAGGATGTCTTTCCAGATAATAAATATCTGCTAACATAAATCATTGAAGTATGCCTAAAAATCAACTTTCTAACAGGATTATGGAGGACCTATGTTATATTTCTACATGGAAGATTTGCTCATTTAACTTGCATCATGCATTGACAAGGGTCAGTCTCTGTTCCTTTCCTGGAGATGCCACATTATCAGTCCATTTGAGTGCATTTTTTAATTAAACTACTTTGTTTATTCATTATCTAGGTATACTGACAACTATTAGAGTGGAAGAGTTCAGTTAAGATCTCCTTTCACACTGTCTTTCAGCACATGCCAGCTGAAAGGGATGCTAGACTACTGAACTTCATATTTGTTTTGAAACTGCCTTTTAGTCCAGTTAAAAGTCTCATCCAGACCTTGAAGAACTAACAAGCAAAAGAGCTGATTTCTGTCATAGAATCATAGACTAGTTAGGTCATGATTAATTACAATGGAAATCAGTCCCAGCCTAAACTGAATGCTTAATCCCCATTAATGTTTTTACTGAATATAAAAACCAGTTCCATGGAAAAACATAGAGTATTTTTATTAACATTATCCTGGGAGGGTTTTTTGTTCTTTTTTTTTTTTTTTTTTGGTTGGTTGGTTTTCTGTTTTTGTTTTTTTCTGCAGTAAGTGGTTCCTTGGGAAAAAGGTACCTGATAAAAAGCAGAAATAAGACTTTTTGGTCTGTGTGTATGAAAGTAGCGTTGCTAACAGAGGAAATGTTTTAGCATGGGATAAACCACGGAAATAGGCAAACATACAGGAGGTTTATTTGATATGCACAAGCCAACTAGGGTAGTCAGCCCATGCAGAATGTCAGAACTGTGTGGGGAAGTGGGTAGCAGCAGAAGGTGATGCCACAAAGAGGTACAGCATGGTGTGTGACAGGCAGACAATTGAGTGCCAGCTCATTTTCTTTGCTTAGAGTCTGGCCTGTCTAACCAGAGTGTCCACTTTGCTTTTGCTCTTGTCACATGCAAGTTCCTTTCTCAGAATGTTGGGGAAAGTAAATATGCTGTCAGCACATGCTAGTTCATAGAAATCACTGCTTATACCAAATGTATTTGATCACCCACTATGTTAGAACAATTCCACAAAAAAATGAAAATGTATGTGATTTTTCACTCACTGTTGTTGTCTCCTCTTTGTCCTAACTTCCCAGAAATGCTAAAAAGATGGATGGAAAGGTAGTCAAAAAGCCACATATAGTGAATGACATTAAACATTAAAATCTTATGTTCTGTGGATACTTAACCTTCTCATAGCAATGGCAGTAGTCCCTGAACATACAGAATGAAAATAACCAGAAAGACTATCACTTCTTCAACTCTGTTTTTATGAAAGTGTGAAATCAAATTGCTCAAACCTGTGTACCGCAGCTCAGCCCTGTGGCCACTCTACACCATTGAAAGACCATCTTATAAATGTGCTACCTTTTCTTCCCTGTGGTGGTTAAGCTCCTTTATAATCACTTTGCAGCCAAGCAGCAGTCAACATTTTGTTTCCAGGGCTGTGGAAGGATAGTATACAGCACGAGACAGAAAGATTTTAAAAGGTGAAATATCTCACAGTACTTTCTGCTTTATGAAGAAATTCTGCTAGAGATACAACTAATGATCTTTATGCCAGTTCACAGTACCTTAAAGCATTTTAAGCAGTCTCCATTTGAGGTCCTGATCTGAATTCTCTAGGTATGAATAAGTACTGCCATCAGCTGTAAAGCTGTACCCACTGCATACAACATAATTTAAAAATAGTAAGAGAAATACACACCAATCATAAGTATACACTCAAGCTACTACAAACCACCAATACGTCTGCAAACTAAAGGCCTGGTTCTTACACGGATACATGTAAGTATTGGCGCATTTGCTTATTTTGAGAAATTTAACAGCTGTATACTCACATGACTTCCTATTTGCTCGTGACCGCTTCCTCTCTCTAGGCACCGCTCGCTGGCTTGGCACTTGGGTGGCAGACTTCACAATGCGATCCATGATCTCGTCTGCTGCATCATCTGTTGCATTAGGTGAATCGTCGTTGCCAGCGTTCCACGAACCAATACGGCCTGGAAAAGTCCAGCAAATTAATTGAGGGAAAAGAAGACAGAGAGTCTCTTGCGTCACTTTGGTTTTGCAATTGGGTTTTTGGAGGAATTACAGCAGGAAGCTCAGTTATCACTACTTCAAATTTGCCAAAGGAGAAGACTCTGCCTAATGGAGAACATTTCTAAATAATACCCTAGAATCTCTGCTGTATCAGCAGAGAACTGAGAGCTCAAATGTAATTTTCTATTCCCTTCAGCCTCAGAGTCTTATTCTTGACCATACAACTGGCAGAGGTCTGCTAGAGACTGATTATAAACCAAGTTTTGCTAGTGCTGTGTGACCAAGTCTCCTTCCATTTCTATTACAGAGAAACTAGCAGACATGGCACATCTTAGAGATTGATGCAAATCAGCAAGACAAGTCCTTTGTATCAAAAGAGAGTAAGAATCAATTTCTTAGCATCGGTATCACACAACCTATGGCAAAGACAACATGAAAAGGGCAAAAAGCGTGTTCTGACATGTCTCATTGTCCCTTTCACAATGAAGAATTCACCTTCTCATCACAAAGCTGTATGTGTCCTGGCACAACTGTGTGTGATCTGTTATGAGCAGAAAAGCAAGAGTCGTTGGCAAGCTGAAAAGCTAAATAAGCAATTTTGGTTAAAACCACAAACAAACAAGTGAGCCATGTCTCCGAACCCAAGGTTCTGGCACTCCTCACTCCACAGACACATCTTTGGGTTCCTCCTACACACTACTGTTCCATGTGCTTTTTGGTTTTTTTTAATGTGAAGGGTAGCATGCAGTGCGAACCCTGACAGCGAGCTTTGCAAAAGAGTGGCTGTGGCAGAATTGCAAGCAGCTAAAAATTCACTTGCAAGGACAGTCTGTATCAGGTCCCCGATACCAGTAACAACAGCTTTGATTAGCACTCTGCTCTCCTGCTTGTCTCCTGGCTCTCATCAACAGCAGTTCTGTTACGACAGTGCTCGTGACAAGCTTCTGTCTGGCTCACCCATCCTCTGTCTCTGCTATTCTTCAGGTGAACGCAAGCTGACTCTCATTATCAGGACACACTGCCTGCTGGCATCCAAGGGATTACTTCAGCTATTCAGCATGTTTCAGTGCAGTCTGAATTATTTCAGCTTTGTACTTTAAGTAGTTGACTTGCTTCTTAAACTGGGGCTGTGAAACCTCTAAATTAGACAGGATTGAGCCTTAATAAATTACACACACACACAGAGACTCAGTGGTGGATAGTCTGGTTGTGCTATCAGTGGTACCAGAAGAGAATCAAGAAAGTGCAAGATATCCAAATGTGATGGAAAAGAAATACCAAAAGAGAAAACTGAAGACTTGGGTTTTGGTGCGTCACCTTCACTCCAAAGCCATCTTTCTGGTATCACATGTATGGGAGGACGTGAGGGGAAGATGAAGGAAAATAAACTGGTGAATCCACTGTCTGTAAAATGATTTAGCATAAACAAAGCGGTTTAGTGGCTGCTTAAATGAAGAGGTGTACCAGCAAAATTATGTCTTGGGCAAAACACAAGGCTATCTCATTGCCAAGAATGAGAGCTCTTGTGCCAGAGTATCAGGTGTTGGAATGGGTGGGTTGGGTCAGGTTTTCATTTCACCCCTGTCAGCTTTCAGCAATCACCCATGTTGACACTAGGAAACAGCAGAGCACTGTGGACCTCAGAGAAAGAGGTATCAGCCAGGACAGCAAGGAGATGCAGGGTATCCACCACAGCTTTTTATGTTCCTAATCTCCATTTAATTGACTACCTCCGCAATTTAGCAGGGAGATGCTTAAAAGATTCTTCATCTTTTTCTTACCCATTTTATTCTCCCTAGTCATTCCTAAATTGCTGCAAGGCCCTTTCACTTCAATTTGAATTGCTACTTTCTATTTTCTTCTATTGAAAATAACAAGAAAACCACATCACGGATTCTTGGATGCCCCATTTTGCTTTCATGATAAGAACCAGAGTAAAAATAGGGATGTTAGTTCGCAGCCATGTTCACAGTGGGGCAACAACTGGGAATTTCTTCAGGCTTGGACTCCTAACATCCCCAGGCACCACTTGGACTGTGATACACATGTTAAAACTTCAGGCAAATCCTTTTACATCCCCAAGCCCCATATCACCACTTCCAGCATGGGAACACCACTGGCATATTCTCCTTCCCCATCAATCATTTCTGCTGCGAGTGCCATGCAAGGCGGCCACGACCTGCATTTGGGCCACTGTGTGGCTACCATGACACAAGAACTGTGGCCAAAGGAAACTCCTGGCACTTACCTCGGCTGGCCCGGCTTCGAGTGCGGACCCCGAGTGTCGTGGTGCTTTCCCCACTGATGGAGGAGGTCTTCAGCACGGCCTTCATGTTCTCGTGCTCTGCAGCGTCTTCAGCATACTGCAGCCCCTGGGGCTGGCTCTGGCAGGGGGGTGAGCTGCTGGAGAACTTGCCAGACTGAGGGAGGAAAACAGATTTGTTGTTTTAACAGAAAACAGCATGGAGAATAGGCCAGAGACTCAACCGTGAATGCAAGGAGAAAAGTGCAGCTATTCCCAAAACAGTTGCTCCTCTCCCAGGGTGTGCACCCTGAGCAGGGATAAACTGGAAACAAGGCAACAGCAGGGAGCAGATACAATCAGAGGAAAAACATGTATTGGCTTTAGAATTTTGACCTTCTGACAGTGTAAGGTACAAAGCAAGGACTTGCTTTGAAACCTTTGATCCAGGCTAGACCCAATCTGGGGTTAGGTATGACACTGAGGGGAACAGCATGAGACCTGACACGAGTAAGAAATTACTTTTTTCTATACAATCACCTTTCAGTAACAAGGCAAAATGGGGAGAGTGGTCTAGGAAGAGACACTTTTCCCTCTTGTTTCTCTGCACTGCTGCACAGAAAATTCTCAAACTGTTCTAAAACACAAAATCTACAAGTAACCTTAGAATACATTACCAGTAACACTGAAAAAATCCCAAGTTGCAAAACACCCAGCCAAATTATTTCATGGCCAACACACAAAAACTGCAGTCGACAGTTAGAAGAACAAACAAAACCTTACAAGAGATTTAGGAATCTGCCCTCTGCTTCCCCAGCCCCACTATGATTTCACTGTCACCACGACTACGTGAACAACAGCAGCTACATTAGCTGGGCACGCATAGTGCCTGGATGCAGCAGCTCCACTGCTTACTGACAGCAGCCATCTAGAAACGGGTGAAAACAGCAGAAACAGATGCTTTCTAAGGAGAAGAGCCTGCGCCGCGGGGCTGCTCTCCCTTCCCAGCCTCAGACTATAAAGGGCTGTGATGTTCGTAGTTGCTCCACTGCTCTTAGCTACAAGAAAGGCTGAAGCACGTTTAAAATACAGTCCTGGCTGCAGAAAATACCATCTCTGTCAACAGCAAACAGGCGTCAACAGATAATAATACCCCTTGGTATTCTCAGTCATATCAGTCCAGCATCAGAAACTGAAATATGTTTTCTTTTTGTTTTTAAGCTTTCTTACTCTGGCCAGTTCAGCACAGATGAAAGAAGGTGTGCTGCATTCTATTCTTTCTTTGCATAATAAACAGCATTAATTATTCTCTTCATGATATTGAGCCAGTCAGGTAAAGGGATGCAAACGTGCAGAGTCTTTTTGTCTGAGAATGATAAATTGGAAGAAAAGACTAGGCCCTATATTTATAGCTTTGATTAAGTCCCCGGGGCTGTCAAAGCTGCAAATTGAAATTACTTAATCTGGAAATTAATGACAGGGTAATTCTATTTTAACATAATGACTTTTCTGGGTAGGATAGCAAGTTAACTGAGTAGGAAAACAATAATCCCTACAAGGCACTGTGATAAATATACCAGTGTAAGATTTATGTGTTGATAGTGAGAAGTTTGTTTTCCTCTTGAAGTATTAGCTTGCAACATTTTGATGTGGAAAGTAGGCAAGTGCTAGAATTTCACATGTGAAATTAGAAGACAGAACAACATTAGAGAGAAACTTGTATGAAAGTGCATGCTATTGTTGCATGAAGAATGCCCTGTTTTACACAATGGGTTGTAAAGCTAATCCATACCATCTCAGGAATAAAACCCCAAAGGATAAAGCCTTCACATAACTGTTGGTTACTAGTCACACAGGTTAGTTATATATTGGCGTAAACAGGCTAATTCATGTAATTTTCTTTCTATGCCCCAAGCTATACAGCTCAAATCATCACTGGGGGAGAAGCTCTATAGCCAGCCCTTTTATATCACTTTCTTAATTTTCAGATGTTGCTGCAGATTAATGCCCAAACTCCAGCCTCTTGAGCAAATGACTGCCATTGTGCAACAGTGAGCATTAAGCTACATTGTTTATGTTTCGCAAACTGAAGAAAGCTCTAATGCTGAACAAAAATGCATTGCACAAGAGATGCTCCTCAAACCAATGAATTGTTTTATTATGAATATAGCTGGCACGTTATGGTTCTTCAGTTATTTATTCACTCTTTCATTCATTTTCAACATCACCTCCAGGAATGCTTGGCGATACAGACAAGAACTACTCCATGCCTCACCTCTGTGGTGACTAAAGTATCTTATTTGCAATTCATATAGCAAGGAGAACCGTTACAATTTGCTTTGCATCCCTATATTCTGAGGCTTTTGAAAACCTTATAAAATAACACCATTTTAAGTTCCACAGCTTAATTATGAGTATGAAATTATCATAGTAATCAATAGCCCGAGGCAACTGGTGATCCCCATAACATTCAGATCACTGATGTTTTGGGTAGTGGGGATCCTCTGCAGTTTTGTAAACAGACATTAAGGAAAAGAAATGAGGAAACTTAAAATCATTAAGGCCTCAGATCAGGATATCCTTATTCAAGAGAACAGGTATGCTTACGATTAAAGCTGGCTGTAAAAATGCATTCTTATGATTGAGCCGAAAAGCTATGAGAAAAATGTCACGTTTCCTAGTTGCAGTCAAACAGATGGAGTTGAGCAGTCCATGTTATCTGTGTTAGAAATTAGATGTCACAGCACACGGGGGACATGGAAATGACATGCTCTTTCAGAGAACCATACCTCAGCATCCTCTTCTTCATCGGTCTGCCGCCGGAAACAAAGGACAGGGTGGAGAAGGACAAATAGGAAGATTTAGGAAAGACAGTATGGTCAAACCACGACAGAGTAAGAAGTAACCATGGTACTGTTTATACAATTGTAAGAGGACATAAAAATAAAATTATATAAGGAATTAATTCCTGAGACAAGCAGCTTGCTTTTTTTAGTAGTTAATTGTATGTAGAACAGACTGTGACTGTCAGTAGGGTATATAAAAAATCGCTGATTATTCTTAGAGAAGTGATGAGCTGAAATTGCCCCTAACCCATCCTATAGAGAAATGATGAACTGAAACTATCCCTAATCCATCCTATTTCTTTCCCTTGAGTCATGAGGTTGCTTGCCCACTATTTGCCCTGTGGAAACTGAGAGCACTAGGAAGAACTCAGTCTCCTTTTTCCAGCTCTGTTCAGCACAGGGAGGTCTTGGCTGCTCTTTCTCCCAGTGCAGAGGTCAGCTTCTTGGCAATTCTTTTCCTCTACATTTAAGTACTTCTTCTAATTCCATTTTAAGACAGGGCTTTTCAACTTCCAATTTAACAGAGCACTCAAATCAAATGCTGAGTAGTCTTTGAATAAATGTTTAAAGTTCTTCAGTAGCTGTCCAGTATCAGATCCTGGAAATTAGAGAGGTGCAATTATCCTTTGTCATTCAGGGCTTTCATCCTCTGTGACAGCAGGCACTGTGACAGACAGTTACACTACATTAAATGCAATGGGCATATCAAAATATTGTGGCGTATGGAGTGCTCTTAAATTTGGGGATTTACAGGGAATTAGCAAGCTGTTTAGAGCTGTGTTCCCAAACGCCTGGGGGATTCCTCACTGGGTTATAAGATGCCCCGCATGGAAGGTTCCCAAAGTAAAACACAGTTTCCCAAGTATCTGGGCTCCTTGTTTTTATAATTTTCAGTTTCATTGCTTATGAAGTACAAACATAGGCCAGAAATTTGATGCATTTTTTATTTGTGGCTTTTGCTTGTTTTTTTAGAAGAAACATTCCACCAATTCTATTCCCCTCCCCAGTGTTACTAATACATATTTTTGACCTTATCTCCATCTCAGCTATGATTTCTGTCTGGGCTTGATACATTCTGTTCCAGAAACATTCATCATTAAAACTGAAAGCCTGATTTACTTTGGCCCTCAGCTGAGTTTCAGCACAATCTCCATAAGAAGATTAGCTGTGAGAGTGCTGAACAGTACATTAACATTACTTTTTAAGGGTATGTTTTATTCAAAGAGTGAGATGCTTATTTTTCTTTGGACACAGTGGCACTAGTGGAAACATGGGCAGATGTTTTGCAGAGGGACCTCGGCAGGTATGTTCCCTTTACATTAAAAAGATCCATTTGTTTTTTTCCCGGGTGGCAGGAAGTCACACCATAAAGTAATTCTTCTGAAGAAGGCCACTGTTCACTTTTTGGCATGGACAAGAAACAGAAAGGAGAATAATGAGAAGCATGAACATGCTTGTACTCTAATCCATATGTACATCAATCTAATAAAAGGCAGGAGGAGAGCAAATTAAGCTAAACAATATGCAAAAGGCACTCAGGGAAAGGTGAAACAGCAGAGTATGCACATTACAAAGAGTGTGCTCCAAACAAAAGTGTATTATATTAGTACTTTATATCAAGCTAGATTTGTACAGAGAAAGTCCCATTACAGAGTAAGTGCCATCTGCTGGCTTTCCTGCCCATTTGATTGAGCTAAAAGTGATTTGCTGTGGACTTACTTTAGGGCAATGTGCTCCTCTCTGTCTGTAATATTACCAAAGTTACTGAAAGCATATTGCTATAGTGAATACTTGCAGGCACAAAATGTTAATTCTAAGAAAAAAAGGCTGCCTGATTCTTCTGTCATGCAAAATTGGATATTGCAGGACAATCCGAGATCTCTCTCCTTCCACCTTATTTTTCCTTTAGGCTAACATTTCTATGTGGTGGATTTGCTGTTTCAAAATATTATTTATATTACACAGCGATTTTGGAATTGAAACGCTAAAGTATTGTAAAAAGCAGAGTTTCATAAATCTGGGATACAGATGCTTATATTGCATACTATTAAAATTCATTAAAAAGCTCAGACTTATATTTATAATTGATTTTTCCTTGTTTTGCTTGCTTGTTGTTTTTAGTGTGCCTGCAGTGAGTGCTATCATTGCCTAAAGCCAGATAGATATAAGGTTGCAGAGACAATTTTCCCTGTGAAACGGTGGCAACTCAGTCTTCTCTTTTTTTTCCTCTAATTCCCCCTATGTTTCTCGCTTTTGCAGGCAACACTCACCAAGATTTAAACTGACTTCAGCTATTAAAGAACACACAGACATAAAGATCTCTGTGGTCAAAGGGTGAAAGAAAGACCAGAAATATTCCCATCATCTTTCTCAACCCTACTCCATGTGAGCAGTTGCTAAAGCTGATGCAAGTTCTCCATGTACGGAGCCAGCAGACTCCACACAAAGAGCCAGCACCCTCTGCCTTCCAAGTCTGCAGGGGGGACCAAGGTTCAGGAGATACGTGCCTTCTTGTTAAGAGCTGGCATGGTTCTGGCTTATTCCTTTCCCACTTTTGCTAAAATTCCTCTTCTTCTGCCTAAAAGCAATGTACTATAAGGTGATAAAAACAACATCCTGAGGAAACTCTAAAGGACAGGGAAGTAAATATCAAATAACCACACAATCCTTCTAAGTCACCAAAAGCAGAAATAAAAATTCAACAGGACTACTTCTTATTAGAACTACTTTCTAATAAGTTTCTTTTCAATCTCAAGATCGAAAGTTTCTTCTACCAGTGTTTTATAACTAGTTGCACATACTGTCAGTGCATTACTGATGTATCTTCCCTTTCCAATGCCTTCAAATATAAAACAGGAAGAAAATCAAGACCAGATACAAACCACAGCCAACACAAAACTACAATAAAACTCCCTTTATCATCATTCTTCTCACATAAATATCTTCAATCCTGCTGACTTGGAAACTTGTTTTGAGGTAAATCTAACTTTGAAGTTCACAAAGGAAGCTGTGACAAATAGTCTGATGCAATTTTAATTCTGTTTTACCATGCACTGCAATCAAATGAACTGTAAATGAGACCATACTACTGAGCTACAGCTAAAGAGATTAAGGAAGTCCTGAAATAACCATATGGCCACATGAATAGCTCCCTTAAAGAACATCTCCATGAGGGGTATTTAAAAGAATGTAGGTTTTGTTTTGTTTTAAATGTTTTTTTGTTTGTTTTTTTTTTTTTTTTTTTTTTTCTTTTACTCCAGTGGACTTTTCTTTTTGTTTTTAAGCTAATAGGACCATTTCAAAATTATAAATTAGTGTTAGGCAAAAAATGCTCCCTCTCTGGGGACCTGCAAGGTATTTTTAGATGGAACACTAGCTTTCAGATGGCATTTAATTCTTTTCAAATCTCAACACTATCTTGAGCTGAACAAGACAACTTCTTCCAATAGTATTTTTTCCTGGGGAAGGTCTATCTGTCTCTTTCCTTACATTTTCAGAATACAGCCACTTTCACTGGCTTTGCTCCTCACTGACTAGCTGTCAACCCTGAGCCGCCTTCTGGCCTGACAGGTTCCCTTCTCTCTGCTTCCTGAACCCGATTGCCGGTGATCAGATTTCCTTTTTCCTTTGCATTTCCTGCAGCAACAGGACGCAGAGAACCTTTCTGTCCTGCTACAACCAGTTCTTCTGGACAGGTAATAAAGAAACACTACATCACATGGTAGGAAAACTGTAACTCCTTCTCAGTATTATTTAAACTTATAAGAATCATAGAATAGTTAGGGTTGGAAAGGACCTTAAGATCATCTAGTTCCAACCCCCCTGCCATGAGTAGAGACAAGGAAATGAAAATTTTAATGTACCAATCTCTTTGGTTAATGCTATCCTTTTAGCTCCTCCATAATATGTCAGGAAAACCAAAAAATCATTGAAGAAAGTGATCTCAGTTCCCCAGTGGTAGTTTTGAAAACTTGTATGACTATATTAGACCCTTCACATAAAATCAGAGCCTATTCCTTAACCTGAGGCTAGACCAAAAGGAAAATCTTTTGAGATAATAATACAGGTTTAATATTTTCTCTAGATGGGGCAAATTTCCAGATTTAAAGAGGATATTGCCAGGAAAGATCTACAAATGATCGTGAGTCCATGACTTAAATACAATCTCAATTTATATCAGTTTCAACACATATATTTTTTTGACCCACACAGCCTGAGCCATAAAACTGTAATCAGCGTAGAGCTTTTCACGCCAAAGGCAGGGGTAGCTTCATGTGCAACGAACCACTCACATCTAATTGTGACTCCAGATTTGGATTTTAAGACAGCTGGAAACTTTTATTAAGTACTGGCACTTCTTAAAACTTTATTTGGATTGAGTCAAACTACATCAACTTAAAAAAAAAAAATGAAAAGAAAAAAAAGAAGGGAATTTTAAAGTTTACTATGCCAAGGAAACTGATCTTATTTTAATTTATTCTATCAGCATGCAATCACACTTGCAAAGGTAACATCTACTGTGAATACAAATTTGTCCGTTCTTTCAGAACCCCAAAGTAGTCTTTTCCCATAAAATTGGTCATTCTGTGCTTTAAAGTTAAGAAGAAAATTGCTATGTGTGTGCACGCACATACACATACACACACACATAAAAAAATAGACAAAACACTAAGATTAAGGGGTATATTAGAATATTTGAAAGTGGAGAAAAAAAATCCATTTAAATTCAGTTGTAACTACTTAAATGGCTACAATGGTTCGTAATTTAAATGATTTTTCTTTTTCTTTTTCATATTCTTGGCTGATCAGGTACACACAGCTCCAGGTGTCTTTTAGATATTTTGGCCACTGTCTGTGCAACACACAGAGATGCCCTTTACAGATGCTTAATTTCAGTTTGATCTCATTCTATAAATTGATATGAAGCAAAAAATGTACATAATCAAGGACTTGAAAGTTTTGTCTTTGAAGAGAGCAGAGTTCATTATTTGCAGTAGCAGAACCTCTTAAGAATAAAAGAAAAACAACACTTCATATATGACATTCAGTGAAAGAAAGTTTTAAAAATCTGTGCTGTGGGAGATACATTTTGCCACTTACATCTGTTATCATTTTCCCTCTGGTCTTGTTTCTTTCCCTGTGGTTTGCTCGTTTCTGTTTTTGCTGCAGAACTCGTTCCCTGGTGGTGCGGTATTCCAGAGCAAATTCACTGATAATTTTGCAGAACTTGTTGATGTTGACTTCACGTATTGCATAGGGAGGGTGGCCCATAAATAACAAAAATGAGTGAAACCTGGAAAACAGTGAGTTCATAAATGCAAAGGGAAAAAGATCTCTATTGATGGTTTCTGGAAAATAAATAAATAATCAGTGAATCATTTATGACTTTATGAGCTCCCTTCATTTCTTTTGTGCTACAGAATTTTCATGGATGCTTTGCATAACACTGGCATGTTTTATAATTAAAACCATGAAAGTCTAGTCTATGATAACTTCATCCCTGTCCACTTTCCCAGGCTGATGCAGGAGATAAGATGTTTATGGAACTCCATCTACTTCACATGACTAATTTGGCATGTGAATGGCCAATTTAATTTCAGTTATAGAAAAAATATTTATTAAGTTTCAATTCTATTTGTTTGTATTAAGCAGCTTCAAAGAGGCTGTTAGGATGTTGGGGAAAGTCTAGACAAGAAGAATGTAGATTTACAGGCTAGCAAACACAAGAAGGAAAGAATTTCTGGTTCACAAAACTGACCATAAAATTATATTATCTACCAAGTACTTTAGTTTGGGATACTCTCAATTCACAGTTTTACTGCTTCTGTGGAATTCAGAGCTTTTGCGCTATTTGCCACTTTACTATTGCTTCTCTATTGCATGATTTACAATAGTGCACTGAATGTTTCAAAATGTATGGGAACTCCTTTTAACTGCATCTACAACCCTGATGACAAAAAGTCTTCCCAGTCCTAGAAAGATGCAAGTTAATGGACACAGTTTTTGAGAACTATAGTAGTAGCTTTAGGACATAATAGGTAAAAGTTATTTTTTTTCCTATTTGTAACAATGCATATGACAAACACAACAGAAAACTGGTGAATTCACTTCACTTCCACTGCAGTTGGGATTTCTGCTTACTTATGTCATGAAAACCAAGTCATTATGAAAACAAAAGGAAGAACTGAATCAACTTCTCAAGTGTATATCCACTAATTTGTCCAACCGTGCCCAGTTCTGGGCTTTCCAGTTCTAGACAGACGAGGAATTACTGGAAAGGGTCCAGTGGAAGGCTATGAGGAGGATTAGGGGACTGGAATATCTCTTTTATGAGGAAATGCTGAGCAGGGCCTAGAGAGGAGATGACTGAGAGCACATTTGCACACAAATACGTTAAGGGTGGGTGTCAAGATGGGGCCAGACTCTTTTCAGTGGTGCCCAGCAACAGGATAAGGGGCAATGGGCACAAGCTGAAACACAGAAGTTCCATTTGAATATGAGGAAGAAGTTCTTTACATTGAGGGTGGCAGAGCACTGGAAAAGACTGCCCAGGGAGGTTGTGGAGTCTCCCTCTCTGGAGACATTCAAAACCCACCTAGACACATTCCTGTGTAACCTGCTCCAGGTGAACCTGCATTAGCAGGGGGACTGGACCAGATGATCTCCAGATGTCTCTTCCAACCCTAGTGAAACTGTCATTCTGTGAAATTTGGGATCATTTGGTACCCAGATCTTCATTTTGACCATAGCATTTTAGAAATTATTCAGAAGTTGGAAAATATCTCAAAATTTCATTAATAAGCAGGTACACAGATAAATTACTCAGGTGACTTCAGCTATATTTGTGAATCTGAAAATAAAAAGCCCAGGTGTATTGCAAAAGTATCATGAGTATCTACATTTAAAAGCACTATAATTACTGTTGACTCCACTGGATGAAATTAAACACAAAAGCAAGTTCTAAGGAGAGGAATCTTCTGCTGTGTAGGTGTAAAACGCATAGTTGTAGATCTTGCAAATAGGAGCGCTGCTGCATTTAGAAAAACTCATTATACAAAACTCACTTCCAGTTCTGCATATGACAAATTTGTCATTAGAACTTTTTTTTTTTTTTTTTTTTTTTGTTACAGCCTGTTTTTGTTTATCAGACAGTCAAACCCGCTTTCAAAATATTCAGGGAAGGACAGAAAATAAAGCAACTTAACCATAAGGCTCCTAGCTTCTGGGGACTAGGATTTAAAAGACCCAATTATTGCACCTTGGGAAAAAATGACTCCCTGGATCATTGCTTTATTTTATAAGAAATACAGAAACCTTCCGGAGCGGGATCTTTCCTAAATGGTATCTATAACAAAGTACACATACATCCTGGTAATATTACTTGCTAGAATGTGGATTAAACACATACAGAAACATATTTATTATGTCATAATTTATAATTTCAGCAAGTCGTTTATTATCAAGATATTGCTGTTACCAGTCTAATTCTGTACCTGTTAATTATTCTTCTATGAACAATCTTCAGGATTATGATTCTTTCTGCACAGTCTTTAAGGAACTCGGACATTTTTTGCTTTAGAGTTGGCTTCATTTCATGCTTTGCTATAGCCTTCAGGTGATCCCATGATGCTTTGCACCGCCTTTCCATCTGACACAAGTTTTCCTGGAGTTGTTCAAAGTCAACCTGAAAAATAAAGAAAAGGAAAGAAAATGCAACACTTTTAATCAAAAACACCGGTAATATCCTTGGATAACTGTACAAGGCAATGTACATGTAAGAAAGGGTCAACGTAGTGGCAGCACAACATTAATTCACATTACTAATTACTACTGCTAAATAATTAAGAAATAGCTTTCTCTGTTGCACTTGTCTAGGCGTGAAATGTTAGTCAGGAAAACTGAAAACAAAGAAACACCCATATACATATAAATTTGGTTTTAGTCTTGAAGGCCTAATGCTTAAGGAAGGGACAATAAAATATTGTGGTGTGTTTTTTCCCTTACTAATAACTTCATGCCTGCACCAAGCAACTGCACGGCTCAGTTATTTCTGAGGTAGTACAAATACTTTCCTTTTTCTTAGTCCTTTTCTCTGCTACTCATAGCTTTTCATACCCTGTTTACTGCTCACTGTTGTACCCTGCCAACACTTCTCCAATTTAGGAAGCACTTGGATGTCTTCCCTAGCCATGCACTGACTTGTTAATAGATGATCTACTTCTAATCACAAAATTCACAGGTCAGAATTTTTTAAAGCTCTATTGAAAGTAAGTGTTATGTAGTGATCTCAGCACTAAGTTTCATCCCTTGATATACAGTACAAATTTGCTGGCTTATAGTAAGATCATATAATGGCTTTGAAAGCCTCTCAACACAGTTAAAATGAATGACTGCATCTGACAGTAACATTCATCAGGACAGAAGCCAACACATTCCATAGAAGGTGAGACACAGCTTCTCCTTTATTCGTAAACCAAAAAAGGTGTTCAAGTTGCAATGGTCTACTGAAGACTTTCAGGATGTGCTGCTAACAAGTGGACAGAGTGCATTAACGACCCAGTGACAGCACACAACAGATGAAAAGAAGTAAAACCACTCAACATGTTCTTGAATTCTGAGGAAAGGAAAAATTTATTTTACAATACCGCTTCACAGTTCAGATGAACTCAAGCTATAAAATACAGATTTAGCTCACAGACTCTAAACACGTCAGTGTTTGGGATGTTACAGTCTGGTACTTCAGCTAATTCCTTTATGCTAAATGAAAACCAGTGACAGAAGCAGGTTTTATTTCACTCTTTTTAGCTGTGTGCAGCATCCACTGCTGAGACCTATACTGAGGATAGCCATAAGAAATGCATTATTATTATTAAAAAGCTCCTGGTATTGATTTGATTTGTTTTTGCTGTGATTTATAAAGTGATGAATTTTTTCTCTTCACAAGGAAATAAAAACATCCTTTGATCCATTCTGCTATTCAGAAAAGCCCTGCAGGCGGAGCAGCTGTGGGGCTTTTGTTTTCCTTATATCCATATCAATGCATATGGTGTTTCCCAGGTCAGTATTTTCATTGTTGATGATAAACACATTGCTGCTCTACAGATGGTATATATATACACACATATAAAACACACATGGGGAAAAAAACTAGCATTCCTATTAAGAAAAAAGAGCCAAAAGGAACTATTTCTAGGTCTTAGCTAGTAAGAATTATCCAACCTGGTTGGGGAAGTCTCTCAGCCCCTACAGCAGAGAAATTTAATTTTCTGATATTTTACGACAGCTTTCATAAAGCATTCACTGAAAAGAAAATGGATTTTAATCTATTAAAAACCTGTTAAGTTCAAGAGACATCACTGGAAAACAACATATCTGAAGGTGAAAGATATGGCAAATTCCCTGTTTCTTGAAATCTTCTAACAGCCAGAGAATTCCCAAGAGTGGGCAGTTCCAGTAAGGACTGGAGGTGGCAGGTCGGGCTAAGGGATGCACAGGAATGTTTTGAGATCAAACAGAAATTCGGATCTCTGGGGAAGCCCTAAGGACATTGCAGCACGAAGGATGCCACCTGAGGTCCCCTGGAATAAACCTCTGTGTAGCACAGGTGGCTGTGCTTGAGCAGAAGTTGTTAACTCCTGGAAGGATTAAAGCAGGAAATGCAATATAGGATAATGTACCTGTGCATTCCCCACATGTGAAGCATTAAAGGTCAAATTTTTTCAGAGGCAACCAGATACCCCACCTGTATTTCACAAAGTGCTATTTCACCATTTTGCAGGTAGACACAGCATCTACTGTATTTCAGTCTGCTCTAGGTCTTACATGCAAGAGTTAAGTGAAGCTTCTTCACACAGGATATACCATACAACATCCCTGCCCTCTATCCAAGGTGCCCCCAACAGAGCATCACGTAACAAAGCTAAGTTCTGAAATCTTTTTAAAAAACCCCAAGCAACCAAACAAAAAGACTAGCATTTATCAGCCTGCTGACAAGATTTTTCTTACTAAATCTTGCAGAAGTGAGATTTTCCAGTGTTCAGGCTCAACTGGCTCAAAAGGAAAACTCTGAAGTTAAAAATATTTGGACTATCTTACCAAATATATCAAAACATTTGATAGTTTGCAGCTTGAGTACTACCTGCATGACATTTCAAACCACAGAAAGCAAGCTTCTCTCCCTTTTTCTCACAACAGCAATATCACTAATGTGATGCTCTCCAGTGGGAAACGGTGTAATGTGACAAGGAAAGTCACCCTCACTGTATCTCCTCTCTCCTTCATTTACACACTTTGCCCTCATATTTCCTCTGCCATCTCCTTTTTTTCTTCAGTGCTGATGCTCAGGTAAGAAATTAGCCATAAACCTCTTAGGACATTAAAGCCAAAGATCCACTGACCACTGATGATCTTCTTGTTCTGCAGTAGCCTCATAATTTAATTTTTTTTCTTTTTTAAGTTATTTTTGCTGTTATTGTTGTCCTATTTAGGATGTCTTCCAACACTGAAAGTGTTATATACAAATATAACAGTAACGATGATAAATGATACCTCAACTAAGTGTACCTATGATAAGGAGAAGAACTTGTGGAGCACTAATGACAATTATTATATCTAACATATATAAAGGAAACATGAAAAGGCATTTATAGTACCATACTAACTCCCTGCCAATCCACACAGCATTCCCAAGGGAGCATGTATTGTACCTTTTTATTTATGTGCTTATTCCAACATTTTACTAAAACAATTCATGCTGCAAAACGGTTGAAAGACGTGATTCTTTTTTGTTTTCATTCTGTCTTGAAAGGAAAAATGCACCAATTCTTGCCTGCAGCTGGAAGGTCATGCTGGGACTAACATGGAATTCAGATGAATTGTGGCTCCAGGAGACCTCAGCATAGGAGGTGCTCGGGCAAGAACTGCTGTGGCATTATTTTATAACAACACTCCACTGACTAAAAGAAGCACTGGAGAGCAACGTACAGATACTGTGTCTGGTCCCAGGGTCTGGAGGAAGGTGGAAACATATATTCTTCTTTTTCCTCCTCAGTACATATATGTACAAAATACATGCAGCTTGCTGGTCCTGCTTACTGTTACCTTCTGCTACAACTTTAAAAATAAACCTTTTTCCTTAGGCAAAAGAGTAAGTACTCTTAGGCTGTTACACAGAATAAAAAGTCTTTTCTTTCAGACACTATGTAATGTTTATTTTCATTTGTAAACCTATTTAGAAAAAGCAACTTTCTAAATCCTCCTGGGATATATTTGATATGTTCCTCCTTTCTCCTGCCAGGTTCCTCTCCATTCACAATCACACTAGCTGTAAAATAATCAGAACTCTTTGTTATTTATCTGTGAGATCTCTTTCTAGGCCCACTCTTCAGTCTTCTGAGAAGTGCCTTTGTAGACACTGTTGCATCAGAGTGGAGTAGCCAAAGACAGTCTATCCAAACAGGATCAGGGTCAGCCTCATTCAGGACACCACTGCCATAAATTACTAGTGAGCAACTTAAAAAATAATCAAACAAAAAAAAAAAATTCCTTTCCAATTTAATGCACCACAATATTTTGCACAAATGACACTCAGACCAAGAACAAAGCTTCCAATCACATGCCAGCAGTGCCAGGGCTCATTTTAATCCCTTTATGTCATTATTTATTGCTTGCTACCGTAGTAACAGATGACTCTGCCATAAACAACACCATAAAAAAGAATTCTACCAAGTTTTTCACTTCATTGGGCTAAGAATTCAATATTGCATGATAGACACACTGTTCAAATGACTTCTGTTAAGGCTGGTTTTCACCTGACTCAAAAACTACTACCACCATCAAATAGCTCAGCATTTACTTCCCTGCCCATCTAGACTCCATGAACACCACTCCTTTAAAAGGTCTGTTTATTTCAAGTTCAACTCCATGCCACACATCCAATATCACAGCTGTGTATACAAGTTTCAAACTTTGTAATTCATTAAATATGAGGCCATGTTCCTGTCATGCAGGCAGGACATGTACCAGAGAGTCTTTCTTGGCTTCGAGCTGGGATGTTATTTCTCTGTGTGGCCACAAATATCTCCTGGCGACATAAGAATTGGACTCATTATTTGCTGGGGGAAGAGGAAGGGCTGCTCTGAGGTGACATTGGGAATTAAATGCATTGGCTCAAGCCTTTTGCTATATATTCCCTAGGGCAGCATATACAATTCCAGGTATGCATGGCCATACACAGCAAACAAGTGTAGCTTCTGTGAGATAACAGGTCATTTTTCTTCAGCATTCCCTTAGCCGGAATATGCTTTACATACTAGATCTCCTCTAGTCTCTGGGCTAAGCTCCACTACAGAGTACAAAACTGTTCTAAAGTCAAAGATGCTGCACCTGATAATACTCACATTTCCTGCCTCCTGTATTTACATTAAGCCCTTGAACAGTTTAAAAAGTGATATGATTGGATGGAAGTAAAAAAACCCAAAACAAATAAATGAAAGAAAACTGGTGAAGTTAAGGTTTCTACTTAAAAAGCACTTCTTTTCAAAATCACTTTAAATTATCCAAAGTTTTGTTCTGAAGGCCAGTGAATAACTTGTAGCTGTAGCCTTGGTATCTTTGTCTAAGTTTTCCATTGCCTGATACTATATTCATTGTTTACTGCTACAGCTTGTTTCTTTTAGGGGTGAACATATCAAATCCAGGTATTTTCTAAGACCTGGATGTCTGCATTTTTATCCTCCCCACAAGGTGCATTACATAGAAGACTGATGCTTTCACAATGGCAAAAGTTGCCTTAGATTCACAATAAAATGACAAGTATTTTATCACATGTCATAGAAAGATATACTTAATCACAGACAAAATCTTTCTCTCTTCAAAGTTCAAGACAGTTTCTGCAGCAGACCACAGCATAGTCTGAACTGTTTATAATGTAAGGTCAGACTGTTCATTCTCACATTATTACAGGGGTGCATTCTGGCAGGGAACACAGAATCTTCCTCTTTTCCTGAGTTGGTTCAAAGCCAAAGGAAATTCTGAGAATTGCTCCTTGCAAATACACTGTCATCTGAGTACAGCGACCTTCTGTGGCATACGTTCAAAACACTGTCTCCTCCAGTACTTCCATACTGGCTTAAGTCTTGTGACACTCAGTGAAGCATCCCAAGAAATGTTACTCCGACTTGCACACTGTTGGTCACACATTTTAAGTGAAGTAGATGCCAGCTCTCAAAAGCAAGCAAAATATAAAGTAGGTTCTGTCCAGACATTTCTAATTCTAGGGTAAGAGGTGGCATCCTGCCAAAATAATTTTGGAAATGAGAACACCTGCATCAATACACTAATTAAAAACTGAAGGACAGAGGTGCTTACTGAGGTGTGACCTGATGAGTCTATCCAATTATATACACATTTCCACTTCATTTTAGTTCTTTAAACAATCTACAATAAACATAATAATATGGGATCTTTCTGCAGATGGTGTATGACTGTTCCCACAATCTGGGATGAAGAGGAGTCATACCAGTAAGTCATGATATAGATCCCTTCAGATGGTGTTATGGCACCTTCAACACTACTTGCAGTCATTTCACCTGGAACGTAGCTGAAACACCACAGTGCTGCCAGGCACATGTGCTAAACTTCATTTGCCCTCTTTCAGACAAAGTCTTGAAATCTCATTTGCCAGTGAAGCTCTTGCCCTTCACCTCAGTCTGCTCTGCAACTAGCAGGATCTACTTCAAGCTGCTCTGTCTTCATCTCTGTTCCTGCTAGCCAGTGCCAGGAGCTGGGGCAGCTGTAGCAGTCCTTGCAGCTGGCACCACAAGAAATGATAAAACTGTAAGAAACTTGCATTCCCCAATCCCTTTTTTCCATTCGACTTTTAGCATTTATTTTTGTTTGAAATAACATAGGGAAAGCATACTTGAATGATAATTGCACACAAATACTTCCTGTGAAGTAAGACAAGAGAAACCCCACTGAAGCAGCACAGGAGGCAGCATGGTCTTCCCTCCTTTCTCTGATTTCCAGTGTATCAAGCAGAAGCTACAGCATGCCAGAATGGCACTTCTGTTTCAGACACCTCCTTGCTACCCATGCCTCCCTGCCAAGCCCCTTGGAGGGCAGCTTCAGGCTTCCTTCTCCCCTGTGTACATCTTAGTCTGGTCCTAAGTTGTCTCCTACCCGCAATCCTTGCCCCCTTCCCTGCATTGTTAACATTTCCTATCGGTTACTTTCAAAAGCTGCGTATTTCTCCTCTGCCTAGTATCTGCAAATAATCAAAGTGTCCTGCTGCAGGGGTTAAAAAACAGCCAGAAGTTTGGTATGTTGTAAGTAAATGAAAATTAGATTGAGAATAATACAATTGCTAGTTTACGCTATGGAGCTAGCCAGCTACAGATGCATGAGGAAAATACCCATGGGGTTGGGAGAGAAGATGAACGTTTTTTATAAGAACACGCTTTTTGTTAACTAACAGAGAAGGTAGTAGTGCTGATGCAACCCCTTGCTCTACTGGTAAGGAAACTTCTAGGAAAAATACTGAGTTTAACTGCAGAAATCTGGGGTCTGCTTCAGTATTAGGCACGTCAGTTCTGGTACAGCTCCAGCGAAAAAACACCTTGAAATATGAATACTTCTATTTATCTAGAATTCTATTTTCTGGTAATGTTTTCACTTGTGTCTGCTTTTTTTTTGTCATTTATGACTTCAGTCCTTCAACAAAACCCGCAAGTTTTGCAATAACTGTACCGTTTTGTTTCTGGTCTTTCTAACTCCTTTCTGATGAGGCAGCCTGTTTATTTTACTTCTTTTTCATGAACTAAGGCTCAGGAATTTCTCATACGATGCGCATCTCAGGGGAAGGGGCATCTCTATTTATCTACAGGATGGAAACTGTTTAGCCTTTGTGGTTTCTGAAAGATGTTTGTAGACAAAATGGAGCTCAAAATACAGCCTAATCCACAGTGAAATATTACTTCTCCTTTCCTGTCAGCTTTCCTAAACCAAGATTTCGCCTTGTCTGTGAACATTCCCTTGAATAGGGCAGCTTGGATGGCTTCCATGTCCTAACCCTTTGATTTGTGGCAGTTAACATCAAGTGGGAATAGAGTTTGTTACAGTAATCCATCAGTGGTATAACACATGCAGGAACATCCCAAGGAGGGAGACCTTGGGCATCAAGGGGAAGGTTAAGGCTATAATTTCTCTTAATGTGATTTTGTCTGGCCTTTTCAGAATTTCATCCGCTTTGGGCAGGGCCACTAGATCAGCAAACCACAGACTGAAAGACTGTACTCAATCCTGCACGGTTTTAGACCTAAAAATTTTTTATATGTGACAGCATTAGGCTGAGCTTTCTTCCACTTTCTAAGACTGAAAAATACAAGATTCATTTGAGAGTACACCATACACAGTGATGTGGATTTTGGAAAACAAAGGCTCTTCTCTTTTATGGTAATTTTAATTTTAGTGATTAACTTGGTCCCAATCTAAAAATAAAGCTAAATAACTTCTTAACAAAAAGAAGAAGCGAAAAAGTAGAAAACAATGTACCTAAATGTTAAGAGATGAAGAATCACTCAAAGGGAAAAAAAACCAGAACCAAAACCTCCCAAACATGAGAAACCAACCTCAGTGGAGGCAATAAACCAGAGCCTAAACATAGGCTGTGCAAGAGGAAACTTAGGAGAACAGAGACAGAATCCAAAGAGCAAATATCTAAGGATATAAAACAAAAGCCACAAATTCCTTTATGGTATCCAAAATAAAAAAAAAAAAAAAAAAGAAAATATGTAGGAGGTCCTGCATCACCGGGGATGAAAAAAACTGAAGACGACAAAAAAATAGGGAAGGGAAGGAAGGATGTTGGGGAGAAACCTATTCTCGTACCTGCTTTTATTTTTCTATATTTTATTTTTTAATAAAAGTGAGCTAATAGAAAGGCTTGAAGACTTGATAGTAGAAACAAATGTGTTGGAGGAGAATGTCTTACAAAGCACTAAACTAGCAGAAGACACGAATTCTGACAGCAAATTAAATAAAGAAATAGAGCCACTGGCTAAGTGAGTATGCTTTCACTACACTTAATCACTTTAAGAATCAGAGGATAGCAAAGTTTCATCTATCTAGACACAGATCTGAGCAGCCTGGTTTTATTTCATCTTGCAGTGCACAGGGTGATGGACCAGATGACCTTCAGAGGTCCTTTCCAACCTAAGTTATTCTATGAAGTACAGAGATAAAAACCAAAGTTTTGACTGTTCAATATATTCAGACAGTAAATCCTGATACTGGCAAATTCAACAGGAGACAAAATTAGATTATGAATTCATTGTCATAAGAACTGTGCGAGAAGCCAAAATAAGATTTGAGTTTTGTGCTTTTAAAAAAGATTGTATTATTCAGGATCATGTTGTTCCTCCTTTTCCCCCAATAGCCAAACAAGGTGCTAGCAGCAGTAATAAATAATCTGCATACCAAGATGAGCCATTGACCAGACCTTTGCATTAGTCAAGGGATTGCCACTTCTTAAAAAGACGTGCTGCCACAAGTTGCCTTTATTTCTATTTATCTTCCCTAACTCCTACTCATAGAAATTATTGTTAGGAGGAAGAAATAAAACGAGTTAAAATATTTCAAGGACATTTTAATTCTGGAAACAATTTTATTACCAAAAGAGCTCATTCCTTCCACTTAAAATACAATCAGCATCTGCCTTAAAGAAAAGATTCCCCCAAACTAAAAAATAAATGAATTTGAAGATACTGAACAAATAAAGTTTTAACCTGAAAATAGTTCTTCATAGTTATATACATTATTAATAATGTATATAATATTAAAAGGGCTGTCATAACAGAGTTGCCTATTAGTGTATTGATGAGGAAACCACATCACAGATAGAGGTAAAGCTCAGAAGAGAGTGTGCTGGCATCTGAAATTCAGTGGGAACAACACAATGAATCCACATGCATAAAAAGTGCTGTGACCAAAAATCAAAGATTAAAATAAAATCTTAAATACTTCACTTTAAAGTGTTTTTTTAAAAAAAAACGTATATATATTTAGCCACTAGACATACCTTGGCTGACCTAGTAATGGCCCCGATCTCTGAATAAAGATCAGTACTGTCTGGAAACTTTTCCACCACCATAGTGCAGACATGGTGCAGGAGGGACTGCTTGTGCACTGTGTCCTTGACTTCTGGAACCTTCTCGAGGTAGCTCAACTCAAAAGCTTTGGCCTGTGAGGGAGAAAAAAGAGAAGAAATTAAAAAGAAAAATGTTTACTCCTTCCCATGCAGATTAGTAGACAAAAAAGATTAACAAATAGGGGCAGAGGGGAAGGAAGAAGAGGAAGAATCCTACAGGAAAAGGAACTTACTACTTTTACTTATTTTTAAGTTGTTGAAGAGTAGGCCTAAAATTAGTCCTAATTCACTGTCATGCAGTGAAATGACGCATGTCACAGTTCTCACAATTAGAATGGAAGCATCAAGACTAAACTCCAGACAGTTATACCTGAAGAGTGCCTACAGACACATTTCCTTCAGGTTATGCAAAAAGAGGCAAAGAGCATGCTGACACACAATAAAAAGACAAAATAGGTTCTGTATTCTAAATTATTTTTCTGGTTAAAAATAAATACTGGGTTGTAACTGTCATAATGGTTTTGACTTCTGTTTTTCTGAAGGAAAAAGGTGCAGGTGAAATGCTGGGATATCAGACTTACGTTGGTTCCATTCAAAAAGTTGCCAATGGCTAGGAGAGTAGAAAGGATAAATCCCAAAGTTTTATTGTGCTCCAGCTGGTCCATTCCTTCCTTCAGGTCTAGAAGTGGTTCTGCAACTTCCTGCCATGAGTATTGAAACAAGAAAGTGAAGGCTGCAGCTGGCTATAGGTGCTTTAAGTTTTTAATTCTATGGTTTAGATTAATTACTGCAAAAAGTTCCTGAACTGGCATCTTGCAGAGTGCAAACTGGCCATGTGTGCTGGCTTTCTTCCATGTTCCAGCTAATAAATCACATGCAAGGACAGAAAATAAAAAAACCCCAAAACATAAAATAGTTTCCTAATGTTGTTTTTTATGTATGCAATTGCCTTACTTATGCTGGGGATTATTCTGTGATTTTAAACAGAAGAGAAAATCAGAAGGGGCTGCTGCATTGGAGTTTCGTGCATGAACATCCCCCTACCCCAACTGATAAAAAAGCTTCTTATAAATATAGTTTCTAATCTTTGAAAAACTATTAGAAAAAGTAAGAACCCTGGCTGACTTGGTATTTGTAGCCTGACCCTAGAATTTTCTTCCAGTGATGGCCACCTCTGAGTTTTAGATATGATTTTGTGCTTGTGTGACTTTAAGACTGAAAAAATCCCAACCCACCACTGTAAACATCAAGCTTTACAAGTGTTCTCATTTTAATCTTTGAACTTAATGCATCTTCCATTCACACATGTTATCTGAGTACAGGTAGGTAAACTGATAAGGCTTGAAAACATAAATTCTGTTCCATTACCTCGGGAAGTGCACTACACACCACAGAGTTCAAAGGAAGAGAGCAAGGGTAATTGAGTTGACAGAGCTTATTTCTGTGTCTTTGTGTGAGGCCTGGGGTTATTTATTTTGTATGCACAGTAACAGTTCACATTGTTTCTATCTCCAAATACCATCCTAAGCAACTGTGAGCAGCATTCTTTTCCCAAATTATTACACTCTTTATGAGCCAAAAGCCAAAATTAAGCAGTTATTTCAGACCAGGAGGCAAGGTAGCTGAGAACTTCGCTTTCTGAAAAAAATACAGTGAGTCATTCAACAAGTGTAGTGCTATTTTACCATAAATAAGAGCACAAAGATATAGGAAAGATACATTTCTAGTCACTAAAGAACAATTCATCCCTTGAAAAGAAAAAGAAATACGTCGAATTCAAGACAAATTAAGAGATGGCATAGTGAGTAATTTATACATTTGAGGAGAGGTACTAAATAATCCTAGACTTTATCAAGTTAAAACTAAAATCAATAAACTATTGCTCATATTTATTTGAATTGATTTAAAGTCAGGGTTGATTTACTTGTTTTGTTGCATCATGGTGTTGAATCAAACTGTTCGCATCTGCTTTGAACACAAGTTTTTGAACTATTTTACTTGTATCAATTTGCAACCTGTTAAAAAAGTAATTCTTAAAAGGTTAATTTAAAATATTCTGAAGGTGAATAAAAGAGTAACATAGACGGCTTCCAAAGCAGGCCATGCTGTAGCCCTTCATTTAGTTATTTACATGCAAGTTATACAAGCTTAGACTATGTTGCATATGGTACACATTTATAATTTCTCTTTACTTTTTATTTTATTGTAGCACTAAAATCCAACACAAACCAGTGTATAATCAGATGAAATACCTATTCTTGCTTCCTATAAAACTCACCTCCATAAAGAGGGTAGATACCTAATGCAGAGCTACCGCATATTCTTAGGTATCATGTATCCTTATTTATCACATATTTATTTTTCACCTGAAAATTATGCTTGAATAAAATTTGAGGATTGGTCCAGAATTTCTGGCTGCAAGACTTCTGATGAGGATGTAGCATACAAGTTCTGCACAGCTGATCTGGCATATGCACTGCTAGCAAGCTGCTACACTAGTATTAAGTTCAGCTTACTACACCTATACAACTTCATGTCACGCTTTTCTGGGAGGGATAAAAACTTGATTGGGATGGGAACTTTGAGATGACCAAAATGTAACTTGCCATATTTGCATTTAATTAAGTCTGGCCTCCATAAATTATTATACCCTTTTTAAACAACAGGAAGTATCAGAATAATACAGTAAAACTTAAAAAGCTCTGATGGACTTTAAAAAAAATTCAGACCAAGCATCACCCAAAAGTTCAACCTTTTTGAACACTTATTTCTCTAGCACACTGTTCCCAGGAAGACTAGAGTTAGGAGTAATTTTTCTGCCAAGAAGAGAAACTGAAGCAAGTCTTTTTCTTTACAGTTTCTACTTTTCTGAGTTCTACACCTGCTTATATTCATTTATGATCCTTTAAAGTTGTCAGCAATAAGGGTATATTTGCCCAGAGTGACCTTAAGAAAAGAAAAATTGATCTAGGATAAATGAAGATTCTATTCCTCTTTCTAAGACCTTTAAATTCCCTTTGAGATAATGAAACTTGACTTGATCTGCACCATAAATAGTTCAGCACAAAGAACTGGTAGTAAGACACCGTAATTTTTCAAAGTGATCAAAAGTCTGAAAATGAAGATTTAAAATTGAAGCTTTTTTTGCCTGTAGCAAGAACAACCATTGTTCCACTGATAACCTTCAGTAGGTATACAGTACATCAGGTACACCTTAACGTGTTAAAACAGTATACACATTGTAAAACAGATCATTGGAAAAGAGTTTTCTTTTTTATTTTCTGAAAAGACCAAAGAATGAACATCCATTCAGTTAAACCCCTTACAGTCTGAGGCTGCAAATGTCCTCTGACCTGCTTTAGTTAATTAAATTCAATCCAAGAAAGATGATTCCACTAGGCACAGAAAGTTTTTCTACAGACATCAACAATATCTCACTTAACCCTTTTCTTGAACAATTTCATGATGTGTTTCTTTCAGGTTGACAGAGGTGGAGCTAAGACCTACTTAAGGCAACACTCTGTTCTCACATGATGAGCAAAAGAGTCTCGTGAACAAGAACCCCAGCCTGACATCAACCATCAAGGTATTTCATGCTGTTGTCCGTCTAAAATTTCTAGCTTCACAGAAATAATAAGGTTCATTAAATTCTTACATAAAATATGTGTGACTCAAGAAATAATATGAATGCATTCTGAACTGTTTTGAATTTTCCATATTTTAAAATAGATTTTAAAAAAATCAAGCAGATGCTGGATGAAAAAAAGACAAAAAAATGCGAAGCTGAGTGATTTGGCACCTAAGGTTCATGAAGGGTTTGCCCATTTGCAGATGGATCTTCTGCAAAAACATAGTCTCAAGAACAGAAGAAGTTAGGAGGTCTTGGGACTCTTTTATTATTATAATCACTAATGCAAAGTACTTCATTTTTTAATTGAATATGCTCATGGTACCTTATCTCAGTCTAAATAATGCTTATGCTTATAGGTTACCTGGAATTTAAACTCTGACTTTAGCCTTTTGTCACTGGAGACAGCCAGCTGCGCTCGCTCTCTTACCTCTGATGTCTGACCCTGTATCTTCCTCTTCACTGAACTAAAACCCAAACTGTCTGTCCTATCTATGTTTGTCTGCTAGGCTTCTTATCACATGCTCCTCTTATTTTAACAGAGTTATCATATGGTATTTCTTGTGCCATTTTACAGTAAGTCCTGTACTTTGGCCTATCTACCTTTCAATAGGGATAAAAATACTGGTCCTATCTTCACTCCAGCTATTGCTTCTTTGAATAATTTAGGTATTTGAGACATTTTATACTGGCATCTATTCCACATGGATTTTAGCTGGCAATTCATTAACTTTGTGGTGTAAACATTATAGGATGAGCAACAGGAAAACTAAATTTCTTTAGCTTTTAGCAGTGCTTCAAATGTTATTTTCAGTTGGGAGGAAGCTAGATATCCTAGGAATACACACAGATTAACAACTACAGCTAACTCAGCTTACATGAAAGGAACACATTAGCCTTGTGGTAACTTCAAAGCAGAATAAATAGCTGTAGCAGAGTAAAAACCCAATCATATCCCCAAAAACCCCAAAACAACCAACTGACCAAAAATACCCTAATGACAAGAAAAGCATTTTAAGTTTGACAAGGCAGAAATATAAATGGCAAAGTCTAAAAGTCACAATTAAAAAATCTGGAATATTAGTGTGATTGCATTTCCTGAAATCTAAAAATTAAGCAGAGGTTGAGTAATCTTGACAGTATTGTCCTCAATCTACTGTTGCGTAACTTCTTAAATAACAATGACTAAGTAAACATCAGGCATTTTCAGAAGCATGTCCCACCTCTCAGAATCCATATCACACAAAGTTATACTGACTTTTTAATATAAACATATATTAACATATATGCACCAGAAATGCAGCCAGACGAGGTTTCTGTGCTAGGTTTCTGAAAGAGCTTCTGAAAATCAGCAAGTAGCTGAAATTGCTGACAGTTTCATTCTCTTTTACCTACACACCAAAGTTATACATTGTCATTTTGAAATTTTTATCTGGGATTCATCATTTATGACAGACAATGCAATTATATTGTTATCTGAAAAAATGCCACCCATGAAGAAGGTGGCAACAACTGTCTGTGACTTAACAGAACACCCCTGAAGGTTGTCTTATCTTTTGTTCATAATTTTGCATGAGGGTAATAAACAGAAAAAACTTTAATGGATGGTGTTTTCCTTAGTTCAAATGGATGTATGATCAATACTCTCATTGTATGATGTAAGGCTGAATACTGTAGTCCTCATTCAATCTTTATCCAAAGAAAAAGTCTCACTGCTCTGAAGAATTTCCTGAATAACAATATCTGGAGAAGATGTGGTAAGGATTTAGCCCTCTTCTTTGTTTCGATGTCATTACTGACGAATTAAAGGAAGGAAGACATAATCTCTAATTTTCTTTTATAAAAGGAATAGGTTATGAAGGATCATTTTAGCTGTTTCCTGGTTGGCCACTGAAACAGAAGTGACCCATTTACCATTTCCTCAAAATAGACACTCATGTAACAACAAGGTCAGGGAAAGATTAAGCAAAGCCTCGGAAGAGTCTCCACCCCTGCCTCCCTGCTTTTTTCTCACCTTTTCCACTATCTCATAGTCCATCTTGAAAGCCCAGAGCTGGAGCCTGGCGGAGAGTTCGCTGATGGAGGAGAGGGTGAGAAGGAATTGCTCAGCGCTGCCCAGGGGCACATCGGGGTTTGCCAGCTGTGCCTCCTGGATCTTTTGCTTCTCCTCCTCGGTTGGGATCATGGTCAGTATTTTCTATGAAGGGAGACAAAAGGCAGGTGTCAGTGACTGGGCCAAGAAGGGCTCAAGGGCTGGACGCTGCAGCAGCATTAGAGTCCCTGGCTGGTAAATTAGGACAGCACTGTAGCAATCAAGAACTAACCCCACTGCACAGAAAAGCAAAACAAGGCCTGCTATCTCAACCACCTGCAGTTTGCTGAAAACCACATCTGTATTAAAATGCTTTTTAAAAACATTTGTGCTCAGTAGCATAATCATGGGATGAAAGAGAGAAGCAGAAACAGGGGGACTGGTTAGGACTGCTCTTCTCAGCTTTCATATGTTTAAGTCAAAACTGGCCCCATTTCTGCAAAGTAGACACGGAAGTGAAGGTAGGAGTGCAACTTTGTGGCTTGTGATTTACAGCAGGTCAGACTAGGTATTAAGGTCCATTTTAGCCTCAATATCTATGACTCTTCCAGCGTACTTGTAGATACACAGAAATAACTTGAGGACACCTGTCCCTTGCTGCTATCAACATCTATTACTTTTTGTTCAATCTGGTTTGGGTTTTATGAAACCTGACAACTATTGCAGCTTATTAGGTCCCTCCCAAACATTTCAGCTGAACTGAGGACAACTTCCCAAGGAACAGGCACTGAATTTCAAGGCGAATTACACATTGCATAGCATATGGCCTCTTTTGATCTGAGAAGTCTAAAATATTGATGAAAAAGGATCTCATTATTTTCAGTTTCTGCTGTCAGCATGGCTGAAAACAATTAAATTTTCCTCCTTGCTTGGACACTGCAAGCTTCTACCTTAACAAATTAATAGCCTAAGGAAAAAAAGAAGAGGAAGAAAATCCTTCAATACACTCCGGTGCTTTTCCTTTCCCTGTCAATGGCTGTTTGCAAAATACCCTGATGTACAACTATTCCAATTGATAGCACTTGATAGATTTTGAGATGTGCTATCCATCCATCCATCCATCCATCCATGCTGAAATCTCTAAATTAGGAGACACCTAACATTAAACTAGACTTGTAGGTAGCTGCTTCAGGGCGTTTCTCAATGCTTGACCAATCCTTATCTAAAAAGTTCATAAAAAAGAGAGGCTGACTCTGAAACTCATAAGAAGAGTGGTTTTGCAGATTGTCCTTTGAAGAAGTCAGGCCTCCTACTGCCTGCTCCTAGCTCAAACAACAAGAGGCCAACACTCTCTCAGCTGAGCCAGGGAAACTTGCAAATAGGATCATACGAACATCCCTACATGGAGAGTTTAGCAGTAGCCATATGATAGATGTAAAAATGCTTCTGATGCATTTTTGAAGGCTAACACTTCAGCAGTAATTCTCAATTGCCTCCTACAAATAACTAGGACTTTTGGCAGCTACCCAGGGATCCCACAAGTATTTTGTGGTGGTGCAGGGCCTTCCCTCTAGAGATATTACACTGCTTTTGGGCATTTTAAAGAGAGCAGTGAAACAGCAAGCTTTATTTCCAAAGGGACTCTCCTCCTCCTTAAGCTTTATGTAAACACCACATGCCAGATGGAGCCGACAAAAAGCATTCAAGTCCAACTGCTGCAAGGCTGCTGTGCTGTGTACTGTAGTATGTGAAACCGAGAATGCCAAGTGAAAGAGCCTGTACTTGTTGTGCCAGCTGCCAAGGATCACCCCAGCTGCTGAAAGCCGTGCTTCAATGGGACCAGCACTGCTGGCAGGTCTCACATCGTCCAGGGTGCAAACTGACCCCATAACAACGACCTAGTCACCACCACTTCTAATCAGCTCAGGCAAATAATTCTGATCCTGCTGGTCATCATCTTTGGCGTGCAAGTGGTAAAATACTCCTATTCGGTAAAATACTCCAACCTGTGACTAATTTAAGCCATTTGTTCAGTGCTAGAAACTTATGAGTACACCAACTGCCAGTTTATTATTATTTTTATTATTTTTTTAAGCATCATTGACAGTAAAGTAGCATAAAAACACAGCAAAGCAAAAGGCTACTGGCACTTCATGTGACCATTAAATCACAAACGGGTTTGAATCTAATAATGCTCTCCCATGCACAGCATTCTTCATGCCAATTAAAGAATTAGTTATCAACAAACTCTATGCTCATATTTGCTAATATGCAAGATATATATATTTCACCTCTATTCATTCTCACACAACTGTTTGGGCCACGGATTAATACTCTCAGGAAAACCAATGCAGAAATCTTTTAATGGAGAAAAAGAAATTTTGGAGACCCCATTTGCATGAGATAATGGATCCTAATGCTCCTGGACTGCTGGACCCAGCCACTTGCTTGATCTTTCAGCAAAGGGATCAAACTGCTTATTTCCTGGACTCAGCCATCCTGATGCATGATCTCCAAAAGTATCTAAGAAGAAAGCCTTACAAGTGTCACAGGGCAAAATTTATAAACCTCATATGCTTGACGGTTACAGGCCTCAGTGTGGGATGCAAGGAAGCACCTAATCAGAGACTGCAAGTAGGCTGGACCATCTGTGGAAATTAGGTGCTTAAGTTATCTCTTTGAAGAGATAATGGGGCTTCTCAGTGATGATGAGGCTGCAGGGGTGCCTTGGCTTTCATATTTGGTTTCAGCTGATCTTACCAGGTGAATAGGAGCATGAAAAAGAATAGTAAACTAAATATCTGACTGTTGCTGGATTCAAAACTTTCTGTGGCTCAAGGCCCATAACCAAATACACTTTAGTGGGTATTTTGCTGGATATTTGGCAGATGATTCAGCTCCAAAAAGGCTCTCACACTTCAGCTTTCCAGGCAGCTATTAACAAGACACATGAGTGTCTGCATTACCTGCAGAAACTCTAACAAAATATAAAGGTATATAAAGGTCAGAACTCCACAGCAAGTGAGGTCACGTGCACTAATTTTATTTCAACTCTTCCAAAAATGATCCAGTTCCAAGGAGGGACTTCATCTAAAATGCCTGATAGCCATCCCTGTAAATCAGGAACTGACAGCTGTTCCATCGGTCAGATTACTCCACTTCCTCAGCTCTCTACTGAAATACATGAACAAACCATTGATGATCACAGAAACTGTAGCAGATGTTTTGGTTTGTGCAAGGACAGCAAGTGTAGCTTTTTTTCTTTCAGTAAAGTCTGCAACTTGTTAGGGTAGGGATATGCTGACCATGGGTGTACAGCGAGCAAGGCGCTATTGAGTCCCCATGACACTTCACAAAGCTTTAGCGAAACAAACTGGAAACTGCAGATGCCAACATACCACAGTGACTAGCAGAACAAAAACTTAAATAACTGTAATAGTTTCCAAAAATCAGATTTTGGTTTTTGTTTATACATGTCACCATCTGCCTTTTTAACACCAGGTTCTCATTTCTTACCCCTTTTTACATCTCAGCGCTACCAAGCCACTCCAGACACCTGGCTTTCAAATTACTTTAGAAATGTGGGTATGGAGGGCTTAGCATATGTGGTGGGGCTTTAATTTCAAGTAGTTTTACTAAAAGCTATACCTACCCGTGCATCAATACTGTGTAGCATCTCAAAGCTGTAAAGAACAAAGCAACCCACCTTAATTTCCTCACAGCATTACCCCAAGTTTACTCTGCTAAATTAATCACTAATTATACTCTTTGGTATAATTAGATTTTGATTCGCATTCTCTTATTAAGCAACACTTTACTGAGGGACCCTCTCATTTCCTTTACTAAAGACAAGCACCAAGGACTGGTTTGGTGGGCCCTATTCTTGCTGTTGCCCATGATACACTTCATAACAATTAGGTGCCAAGATTTTAAGCTCGCCTCTTTTGCTTAGCTCACAGAAAGCCCTCATCCGTGCTAAGCAGGCAGTCCTTTCTGCAGCGAGCTCCAAGTTGTTTGAACACAGTGAATACCAAGCTTTCAAAGAAAGGAAACGTTTGGCAAATGTAAGGTGGCAAAAAATTTTTAATTGAATTGATGCATGCTTGCAGACACATACTGTGTATTCCTTTGAAAACAGGTTTCTAACAGTGCCTGCCCTGCATGCTAAATGGGCTACATCTGCCACTCTAGCACCATGCCCCCATTTTCTGCTGTTTTTCACAGTTCAGAAGTACCTAACCACTTCGAACACAAGGACTAAAACCACAAAACATACTTAGGTATAGAGGGCTTCAAAATACCTGGAGATTTTTTTTTTCTCCTATCTTAGTTACATATTTGAAGTTAAAAAGCAAAGTATGGATTAGCTACAAGAGTTAAATGTCTAATCACTAAAGTCAGTCTTAAGATGCCATTTAATCTGAACTTACTCCACCAAGGTGCAGACCTGAAGCCATGTGCACACTAACACAATAGTGGCGACGCTCCTCGGAAAGAGCTCACAGCTGAGGCAAAGGATGGCTCAGGTAACTTGTCACCCTGTTGGTGTCCTGCTCCATGTTAGATCTGCTAAAAGCTTCACCCTTCAAGATGAAAAGTACACAGGCTCTGCTCCACCACCTACTCTTTCTCTTGATTTTAAACATCTAAATGGTCACATCAGGATTACTCACATCCTTAGCTTCAAGCTGTGGACTCAAAACTCAGAAACCCCATTTTCTGTAGCATTAGGCAAGTATATCAACAGTGTATCATTTCCTGGTATCTGAATTCTTTAATTTGAAAGCTACTTACATATCTATTTTAAATGAAATTACAGGTTTCTGGCAGCTAATGGGAAGGCCACCCAAAGCTGGGTGTGGTGGTACAAGGCACTCACAACTGTGGACACCACAGGTGGTTGACAGATGGACAGCCCAGCTACAGATGTTGGTATTAGAAAGGGTGAGCTGGGCAGAGCAGCTGAACTGTTAAGCATGCCAGAGAAGGACACAAATCAAAAGAGATAAAACATGAAAGATGTATCATCCATTTTTTGTTGGACTTTGTATGGCAACGCCATCTATGGCACTGAGATCTAACTGGTGGTCTGTGAGTTGAGCTTGGCAGGAGGGGTACTTCTCTCCAACACTTTAAAACTTGGTACCGCAGACTGTAGTGGTAGGTACATGGGCTGAGACATGAAAAAATTCTTTTCTAGCCTGATGTGTCACCTTCGTAATATGAGTAAGGTACATATATATATAGCAAATAAATAAGATAGCTCTGGAAAGGAACTATATTCTAGTAGGGATAAATCAGGCCTTGCCTTCTAGCTAGAATGATCCTTTTTGCCTTAACTGCTTCTTTTGCATGTAACTGCTGGCAACTCCATTTCTATTCCAGCCAGCTTTTCTCATTTTCTTCTGTAGTCAGCACAGTGAAGGTGGAAAGCGGGAAATCATAACTCCAAACCACTGAAAGGTGACTGTGAATCAGTACACGACCTCTGCACCTCGGCCACTTGCTGAGATTTGTAGTTGTGTAGATTACTCTTACTAGATGATATAGGCTTATTAAAAAAACCAACAAACTGAAACAAATGCAACCACAATGAAAAAAGCCAGGGGAGCAGCAGGCTTCTTTTACACTTCATAGAAGAAAAATGTTTTGATAAAAAAAATAACAAACAGAGCTCATCTTGGATCTTGGTAAGAATATCTGCAAAGTCAAACATGTAATGGTAAAAATTACATCATCTGTAATCTTTATACCAACTGCTTTTCTTCAAATGACAGTAACACAAAAATGCTATTTTGAGCAGAACTAGTCACTGTATTTGTTTTCAATTAGATATACAATCTAGAATGACTCCAACAGCTAGCTGGGCATGAACTTTATTAAACTCTGTACCAGTTGCATCAGCCCTAGTAACTCCCTGCCTATTCTTGCTGCTCACAGTACTTTAGTCAAGCTTCAGAGGAACAGGTAATACTCTGAAAATCCTGACAGGAATTACCACCACTGTTACTCAGACACAAACACAGCAGAGAATCCATGTTTACTGAGCATGCCCAATCTCAGGTGAGTACTACGTGCTTCTGAGCACACTGCATTGTGTTGATCAGTTTCAACATTCAGTCATGATATAATACATCCGCTTTTCCCTATTCCATGTAAAGTTTGGCCTTTACCATGTGCAACATTAGGCGGAAAAAAAAAAAAAGAAACATTGAAAATGCAGACTTGAAGACATTGACTATTCTTTCTTACCTCTATTCCTTCCTTGTTTAAGGCATATTCGTCAAAGTTCAAAATAGCAGTCTTGATAGTGCGGGGAGGGGGCAACACAGTCAAGCCAATATTAATAGCATTACTTCGTTTTGAGTCCAATACAATGATCTCCTGTCGCTTTCCATCTGCAGCAGTTTTCTTGGTAAAGAAGAGAACAAGAATATTATTCCTCCAGCCTGTTTTACAAAGAAAAAGGCATTCCTTTCACTAATGACTTCTCCTACTCAGGGGTGTGGACACTGGATGTAAATCTAATTCCTTTATAGCCATGCAAAAAGCTGAATCCTTCCACCACATCCTTGCTGGTATCAGCATGAGCAATCAGTATTTAACCAGAGTGCTGAATGCAGTCTCGGATGCTGTGCAAAGCAGAGAGAGCCTGAGACACAGGAGTCCCTGCAAGGGCTGGGAACACTGCGGTTTGGGGCAGGAGTCAGTCTGGGAAAAGCCTGAAGCTGTCTCTGATGAGCAGCAGCTCTGCCACAGTGTCAGTGGGGCAGCAGCTGGGCAGTTGATGAGCTCTGGAGCTCAATTACCCCTTGGGTAAGTCAAGCCAGAGTGGCCACCACCCCTCTCTTGCCTGTGTGGCTGGCTGGGAAACAGCCAGGGTGGTTCCTACCTGCCTGCCAGCCCTTTCCTGTGTTATAAATCCACCTTGGGCAATGGCAAAGGAGCTATAGAGGCCTTTCTGGAGACACTGGCATGGTTTTCTGACCTCTGGCTGCCAGAAGAAGGATATTCTATGTTACAGCTCATGATATGTCTGTCAAACCCTTCACAGGTGCAGAAAAGTTTCAACCCTTCCTCTTTTTGCAAGGCTTTATTTGAGACTAGACATATCTTTGGATCTTACCTCCAGTATAAACAATAATGAAAGCACAAATTCTCAATCTGTGCTAAGGATTGCTTTTTAGATCACAAAACTGTTCTCCACGACCTTGGGGTCTGCACCACAGTCACCAAGTCAAACCATACCCTACTGTCAGGTCTACATGTTGTTTCTGCATTGGAAGAACTAAGTTAGCAAATATGATTCTACCAAAATACCTCCTGCTGTGGGAGCCCATTATGGGAATGATGCTCTCTCATTACAAGGATGCGTTTTCCTGGCATAACTCAGTTCTTTGCCTGCACAGAAAGAGGTTTGCCCACCTCTGGTCATAGCACCCTGCCTAGCACATGTGTGGCACCAAAGCACTTTTATCATGCCTACACGATTAATGTGCTATGATGCAAGTTCTGTGTGCAGATGAGACTGAAAGCAAGTGCAGTTTATAGGAGCTGGGGACTACCACATGGGTATGACCTCTGAAAGTAATCAGAGGGTTGGGTTTTTTAAATTTAAACACTTCTGCAGTAAACAGGATAAATTTTAGGAAAGCAAAGATAAACTTTGTTTCAAATTTTTATACATCTGTTCTGTCAGAACTGCTCTCTTAATCCTTTAAAAGCATCCCTGAAGCCTTCTTGAACTTTCCCTTCTTTGAGTAAGAGAGTCCTCTTTTTCTTGGGAGCTACCTGAAAGATACGAGATACAGCTTCCCCTTTGAAGCAGTCATTTCTACTTGCAGGGTCATCAATCACATTTTCAGGACCACAGTTAGTGGCCAAGGCCACATAAAACCAAGTGGGGTTCACCAGAGACTGCTTCTTCTTGAGTCTGTGTTGCACTAAGCCTTTTTTAAACCACCACTTTTTACCTTGTCCGTCGCAGCACAGAATTACACAGCTCCAAAGAATTTATGCAGAAGGGAAAAGGCTGAGGGAAAGGAGTTAAATTTAGGCTTCCCACATGCGGTATGGGTAAGTAAGCCTCAAATCTGCAGCTCTGATTTTAGGCTCCTAAGTCTGACGAGAGACATTCATTTGGGGGACATATGATGCTAACCACTGGGATCACTGCGATTGCAACAGTGTGCTTGCTACTTAGCAGTGAGTTATGAAAGACAGATGAGCTGTACAGGGGATGTATGTATGTAGGTATTTTCCAGAGCTATAACTGCATATGGAATACAAAATTTTGGGGTAAGTAACTCTTCAAAAACAGGGGCAGAAGAGATTCTAAATCCATTCTGGGGGCAATGGCTAAGATACAAAAAAATCCTTTCCAAATAAATAAAAGGATGAAGAAATGAGAAAGATTTTACTACTATTTACTTTATCATCCTACCCCTAGGAAAAGAACTGTTTTTTGTCTGCAATTAAATTGTAAGTGTCTGACGGTTAAGATAAGCTACACCTATGAATTTCTATTACAATATTAGGCGATTTCAGGTGGGGCTTTATAAGTTCATTAAAAGAGAGTGACTTCAAGTGCCTGAGGGAACAGTGCACTAGTGCCCTTGATATATCTTATTGTGTCAATATGCAACATAATCCCTGAACTTCTGAATACTATATTGTTAACTGTAAATACTAAATGAATTACAAATATATCAGGAGCAATGCATTAACAATTACAGTGATTTTAGATCTTTACAGGACCTAATTGGCCAGATTCTGTTGCCTCTATTGAAGGCTGGGTAGCCCAGGCAGGTTACTTAAAAACCATTATCATCGCACAGAAGGTGATTTGTGGTCTGATGAGCACATGGTCTAACACATGCGTCTTTGCTTTAAATAATACAGGAAAATTTAACACACATTTCCAGTGACCATGTAAAGAAGCAATTACACATGAGCATCAACTCAGAAATATCTCCTGCATTTAAACTTGCAGAACAACCTGCATCATTAGTACAGAACAAAATGGACAATCCCTTAATAGCCAGATGGCATTTTTTTTCTTAATTTCTACCTCAATTAGCAAGGATTTAGCACTGGGAGTTTAAAATGGAATCACTCAGCTGCCACTGATTTTGTCCAGGATACATACATATAATCTTTTTCAGAAATTCTGGTCCACATTTATGACTTGCCTTGGCATTTGTTCAAATTACAACAAATGTTTTCAAAAGGAAAATGTATCTAGGCATGTATATACATATGTACATGAAAACACGTGCCTTAATTTTTTCCTTCTACTAGTTTCTATGTCTGTGGGCACATGATGGATCACTATATCCCACAGGGTAAAGATAAATCAGCAAAATAATACTTTCATGCACACCCAAGTGGATAGCAGAAGGGCTGAACAACCACGGTTGATTCAGTAGCATCTGAGTGTTTTCATTTCTCTTGACAGAAAAATAAACACATTGAAGTGCTTTGCCAAAATACCTGCTTTGTTTGGTGGAGTGAGAAGGAAAGAAATGCTGGACTGGCTTGGAAGGGATACCTGACCACTCTTTCTGTTCACAAACATAATGTGGTCCCATATTCTAGAAAATAAGTGTTCTGCAACTAAAGTTGCTCCACTAACTATAATCATTGTGCAAGTTGTCCAGTGTGGCATAAATTTTCCTAAAATCAAGAACCTCCCCTCCCAGCCCCCCCTCTCCCCAACTCCCTTATTATATCCTACAACTTAAAATCCACTTTATTTTATTTCAGTCTATTGTGTTTAATGAAAAACTTCTCATGAGCCAGGAAGTAGCTGTTTATAGCTGTGTGTTGTGGAAATCACAGTGAAGGATTAGAAACTGGAGTAAAATTGGTTACAGCTGTATGAAAGAGCATATGCATAACATAGAGCCAATCCCTCACCCCCACCCCCTGACTTTGCTTTTCCTCTCATCCTTTTGGACTGTTCCTTTTCCATGCTCCTAGTTCCATCTATTGCTATGAAATCTGGAGATTTGACTTGATTTGTTGCTCTGTGCTCTTTTCTTCAGCTGAACTGAGCTCTGAGTCAGACTTTACGATATTATAGAATAAACCTGTTTTGGATTGCAGCCATTGGACAGGAGAAACTAGACACAACGGGGAATCTACTCCCTGGAAATAAACCAAGCAGTCTGGAAAAAGCGAGAGCTATCCTAATTTGAGTGCAATCTTTCTACCAAACCTCAAGTCTTTTACAGATTCAGTGGTCTGCTTAATTGTTCCCACTCTCACTTGATCTAAGGATCAACTCCTACCCTGGAAGATTTGCATGTGTTCTCCAAACCTAGGCAAGAGTCTCAGAAATCTGGGTAGACTTCCACTATGGTATTCCTTGGTCACCATTGTCTTCCCTACAGAGACAATGAGACTTCTATGTCTGTGTTATGGGATGGGGTAGAAAGAGAGCCAAAAGTATAACGTCTCATGCAGAGAGCAGTTATTAGTCTCCAAAAGGAAAGCAGTCACCTAAATCATTCCTCAGACTTGCACTAATTTCAAAGAAACCTGCTCACTCATCTTCCAGCCAGAAGCCAAAAGCTGTGCCAAAGCATCAGGCAGGTTTGTGAAGCAAGTGTGAGGAAGGGAAAATGGCCAAAGGTAGTTTGGGAATGTGCACAGTTAATGATTGCAAAAGTAAATATGTCAGAATTCCAACAATTTAACATTTTATCAAAATTTTGGGTGAGAATAAAAGATTAAGAGTCAGCCAGAGAGATCCATTACAATACTGGCATTTAGCACAAAGCTAAACTTTGGAAATGGCAAATATGTCATCATTCCACATTCAATTCAAGGAATTAAATGTTTTATGGATCTAAGAAAATGCTCTCATTCCTTCCATCTATGAACCATCTGCAGCAGATTTGTATTTACAGGGAGAGAGATGAGGAGTAACACACCACGACGTCACAGGCATTCCTTCCTTAGCAGAAAAGGAATTAGAGAAAGAAATCAATCTCAGCCAAATGAACTGTATGTGTTTTTAGAGCTGCTATGCCACACGTTTCAGATCTACATGCATCTATGTCAGGTAAGAACAACAGTGGCAGGATCTGTGCAAGCCATCTATGTATGTACCTGTTGTTTGCTAGGTACTTAATGAGGGGCTTGATTGTTCAAATCTCAATGTTTCCACTTGGCCAAGAAGCTCAAGAATGACTATTAGAACATTTTGAGCTAATGAGCCACACAAGTGATACAGAGAACTTTTATTGTGGGACATCCAGTCTCCCTAGACGAGAGCAAAAAATAATATATATGATAGATAACACACATAACAACTTTGCCGGCCAAAGAGAAGTAAAATATTCAAAGTGCTGATGGGTTTTTATGTCACTATAAAACACTTAGGCATACAGAAAAAACATGTAAGTGATTTATTTAAGTAAGAGAGATGGACATCTTTTACAAGCATTTTAATTGGAAAAAAAAATTGCTTCCTTCATATTGATTATTCTGCTTAGAATTTTATGTAGCCATGAAAAGCAAACTTTAAGCTAATAACTTTTTAAATGCTACTTCAAATTCCTACTAAATGTAACTATAAAAGACTTCCTTTTGTTGTTGTGTCTAATGTTAAACAGCCATGTCACCCAGCCTTTGTGAATTTATTTTATAACAGTACTAAGGAAGAGGGAACCCTAGCTACAGAGGTATTTCCTGTGCCAGCTTCTATCCTAAAATTTGGAGAGCCGCATTGTACAAATTAAGGATCTAAAATAGGCCTGTCTGCCAGCATAAAACAAAAATCCAACACCCCTGCAGAGTTTAGCTGTAAACTCGGTCCAGCTGATAAACTGATCCCTCAGAACAAAGTACATGTGTAGGCTTTTTGCAGCAGACCCAGTTTGGTATTCTAACCTTTCCACATAATGATTAGGAAAATATTACCAAGTGAAGAACTGTCAAATACACAGATATGAATCATCATGCCATGACCTTTATATGAATGTAACAGAAAATATTTCAGATTTCAATACCTAGTTTGGCACTCAGCCACGAACAAGCTAATGTAGAATGTGTTGGTAGTCCCCCCCTGAATTAATGTCCCAAACCCAACAGACCTGAGACAAGAGGGCAGCTTGGCATGTACACCACCCTAAATTCACCTCCCAGTTCCAGGCCATGGAATATCATCCATCATAGGCCAAGTGAGAACCAGGAATTTCCACCGTTTTCATATAAACAACCTAAATCACGTAGATCTAAGTCAGAACGAATACCAATACAATAGCAAAATAATAACAAGCTGAATACGAGCTGTACCTTGGTGACAGGCAGTTCCTTGGATTTAGACTCAAAGAGATGCTCCAGTTTGGAAGTGTCCACCTTAATGGGTTCCAGTTTCGACCACAGGAATTCTCTGCAGCGTTTGTTGTTTTTACACTGCCACTCAAATGGCCGTACCTCGTTCCAAAACAGACGGATGGTTTTCTTCTTCTTTATAAATGCTGGCTGACCCCTGGAAACCTGGGGTGACCCTAAACCCTGAGGAGTGCTGAACAGCGGAGGAGGAGCCAATAAATTAGCAGAGGGTGGAGGTGGAGGCGGACATCCAAACAGCGGGGGAGGTGGTGGAGGAGGCAAACCCAGAAAGGAAGGTGGAGGTGGAGGAGGGGGAACAAGGGAGTCCCCAGGACCCATATCCATGTCCAACACATCTACATCATCCTCCTCCCCCAAGTCTGTAAAATCCATGTCTTTGATTTTAAGTTCTCTAGGATTAGCCATGAGCTGATCCCAGATGTAGTCAGATTCCTTCTTTGGCTGTGCTGGAGTTTTCTCAGGGACCTGTTCACTGATTTCATCTTCAGGCACAGCTGTCCCCTTGGCCAGCTCACCACTGTTGAATTTTTCTGCAAAGGCTTTCACGCTGCCTTGGTTGTCCAGATTTCCAATCTCCATCTTTTTGACACTTTCGTCTTTGGCCTGCTTCGTGGCCTGAAGGATAGAGATCCTACTGGCTAGGCTAGTGAGTGACTCCTCACTTTCCTCCGTCTCCTTCTTTTCCTCCTTCGCCTCCAGCTCCTTCTCCTCTTCATCCTTGGGTTTTTTGTTATGCGCATACAACATGTCCAGCATAAACCGCTTGTTGTTGAGGATGTTGCTGCACTGTTCATTCACACCAGCATCCTGAATGGTCTGTGACCATGGACCTGCAATCACACATACACAGAAGGAGTCAAGGGCAGGGATCCAAAGCACCAAGAACACTCTCCAACCCACCAGAAAAAATTGGGGGACATATGCACGATTATTCTGAAACTGGGCAAGCATTAGCTCTGAAAATTTTGAAATAAGTGATGGTCCAACCTTGGTAGGCTGGGAGTAATTTTCAACAAAGGAATGGGAGCTGAAAATAATCAGCATAGCTCGGGAGGGATTTGAACGGCCAAGCAGGCTGCATACCCAGGGTATAGCACTCCGGGCAACTCAGTGAGTATAAGCAAGAGTTTTAAAGTTATTTCTAGGAACACGAGCTCCTTCGTAAAAGAGCTTTGAAAACGTGGCTCATCATCAACCACTCTTATCCTCCCTGAATATATGATGGCCTTCTTCCCACATCACAATCATTTAACATCACTGTAATGAAGCTTCATCTTTCTGACTACTGCTTTTCTCAACAATAATCTGCAAAATACCATGTCTGAGACAGGACCATAAATAACAAACTATAGTGGTCAAATTGTAAAAATAAATGATGTAAGTGTCTCTGTGACTAAATTTCCTTTAATATAATACTGCTAACCAGTGTGGATAGTATGTCTAAAAATTATGGTGCTTCTTTTTCCAGTGGGCATCGTATGAAGTGATTAAACACGAACAAAGATAATTCTTCACACTTACTGTATTTCCTGTGTGGGATTCCTTCTGTTCCCTACAGTCTTTACACATTTTATTAATGTATTTTTTATAAACTCTATTTCTTAAACACATTTCATTTTGGTTGCTAGCCTGCCTTCTTTTTGGTCCCTTGTGGTTAAACATTTTCCTTTATACCTGTCAGTTGCCCTTTCTCTTAAACTTCCATTTTATCTGTGTTTCTCTCTTTTCTCCCCTTCTTCACCTTTTTTAATATTTTAGAGTTTTAAACATCTTTTATAGCTTCCTTCAATGGAGTTGCTTTTTTATGATCTAGCCCTGTGCTCTGAGAAGGTGTCCCCTTGGCGAGATCCACATCCAGGGACCCACAACTCTCCCTTACCTCTTTATAATAAGACCACGTTAAGATGTAGGATGGGTCTCACAGCACAAAGCATATGGACAGCAATGACTCTCACCTAAAACACATTTTAAGATAAGTCCAGAGCTTTAACCCCAGACAAAAGAAAGACTCTTTTTCAACAGTGGATACAACTTCCAGAATTGTTTCTTTCAACTTTCCTGCAGGAAGCTTGACTGCTTCCATTACATGCTTATTTTTCTTCAGACCTTATCTATGGGATTGCTTTCTTGCCAAGACTTGTCACCTGAAGTAAATTCTTAGATACATCTTTAATGTAGTTTCACTAGACAATGTGACAACTCCTTCCCCACACCACAGATTTCACTTGCTGAGCCTCCCCAAGGATTTTCCCCTACTCCCAGCCTTTCCTTCAAAGATTAGCTCCCAGGATCCCTTCTATAAATCCCTCATGACCTACTGCTCTCAGTTTCAGCAGCTGGGATCCTCCAGGATTTAATCCCTTCGCAAAACTGCTCATCAAAATTCCCTCTGACAAAATCTCCAATTTGGGCTCCCCAAGACTCCTCCATGTGCCCTAGCTGATCAAAGATCAGTGAAGATTCTTGCTGCCTTGGTGGCCTCTTCTGCACTCCTCTCTGCAGGTAAAACTTTGAAATACCATTGGAGAAACATGACTTGTTGGAAGCCAAATTCAGCAGGGTAGCTAATGAAGGAAGAACCAGCACTGAAGGCTTTACTCCTTTGTCCTTAATGCATCTGGGCAGAACAAATGGGCCACCTCATAAATGGCAAACTGCTTGTTGGAAATGTGAGAACTGCTGAAGACAGCTCTCTCATTTGCTTTCGGAGTCTCCTCACCTACTAGACAGCAAACAATTCACTACATGAGACCTCCTACATAGCACGACCTAATAAATCTTTGGTCTACTGGTAACATAGGTCAATTTTAAGATGCTGATTTTTTCAATAACATTGTACGTTTCTTAACTTTAAACAAAAAGCATGTAAGCACTTAATTAGAGTGGTAATAGGTTGGTACCTGACAAGATGAGGGCAAAACCCTGTAACCTGTTCTCCCTTATTTGCGCTTGGACTATCTTGGAACATGCCACAGCATAACAACATCCTTCATCTGTTGCACATCCCTTCCCTTTCCTACATATATATCCATCTACATTCTTTAAGACGACAGTAGCATTCTAGGTAACTCAATCTCAGTGCTGGTTGAAAAGAAATTAGCTCTTAAATTTAGAATAAATTCAACTTTATGTTTCCTAGGAAAAAAAACAACACCAAACCACCATCACCAAAAATCCACAAAAGTGATGGGGTTTAAACATGAACAGTACAATCTGATCGTTTATCTCTGTGAGGTAATCCTTGTGATTCAGAGTTATCCCTCTTCTTTCAGGAAAGATCAAGACTATTTCAAACTATGAAGTAATTCTTGTTTTCTTATCTAGAATTTAGGAAACTTAGGACAAGGCACTCATCTGTTCAGACCTAAGAAAACATGGAAACCAAATGCCCTAATAACATTACATTCCTTCACCTCCCTAGAAAAAAGGGAAAAGAATAATTAATCAAAGTTCCAAATTTGCCTCCCTGCCAGGGCTGGATGACAAACCCTGGTTGTCATTATCTGTTCAGGTAGAAAGCTGATTCTTAAGGTGTCTTCTCGGCTGGGCCTTTACAGGTGCCTGGTGACACATCTGAACAGAACCACTGCTCACTGCAGGAATTGTCTTTTCCAGTCCAGCTCTATTTCATGTGCCTCCTCTACACCAGCTAAACACGGCCATATATCTTTAGCCACTCAAGTGTATCTCTCTCTGCTTTTTGAAGCCTAACCAAGATGGGAGAACTGGAGGGAAGGAACAAACATCCCAGCCCTCAATGCTCTTTCTCTTCCACTAAAAGGGGAATCTCGTGACAACTTCTCTCAGCACAACCCCTTGTCTTACTGTTTCAAGTGTAGAAGATTCCCTGGGAGCTAGAGGTGCAAGTTGCTGCAACATGATGATTCCACAGTTAATATATTATCTTAGGAGAAGAAAATTGTCTCAGATCAAACCTTACAGTCCCTCAAACATAGAAACCCCATCCCGTTCATGGATTTCCAAGCAGAGAGTAGACCAGGCTTGGCCAGGGTGAAGAAAGTCTTAGATAGGTGCAAAGGAGCTAATTAACACAACAACAGAGATGCTAATTAAACATTTTTTTTTCCACCAGAAACCCTTCGTTATTGAAAAAACTTCACTTTACCAGTTTCATTGTCACTGGTTAACTTGTCCTCTCTCTCTTCCCTCTCTAAAGTGCTGCTTGCTGAGGATATACTGGATGCAGAGCAGTTGTCTTTTTCATTCACTTCCTCATTCTGCCTCTCTTTTTCACTGAGTATTGCACTTTCTTCTGGCTCTCTTTCTGGTCCTTGCTCCACCTCACTCTCTGGTCCCACCTCTGTAGCCTCTATTTCCTTGGATGTCTCCGTTCCCTGCTTGGCCTCAGCCTCCTGTTCTGGTTCTGGTTCTGTCTCTGTCTCTGGTTCAGGTTCACTGGCACTCACTGGTGAAGAGAACAATAGGAGAAAGATATTCACTTAACAACAGAGTTGTCTCAGGCTCACCCCTCTAAATGAGAGCAACGTGAAAGTTGTACAAGTGCTTTACAGAAAGAAAATAAAAAGCAAGTCCGTGGCATGCTGAACATTAAGAGCAATAGACTGATGAATGTTGTGCGACGACAGCATTGCACATGACAGCGGCCTGGCAAAACCCCTCACTTGCTGTCTGGAGCCAGCCTGCTATTTTTATACATACTTCCACAGCTGGAGTGTTGGACACACATAAGGATTTGAAGGAACCAGCAGAAAATGGGCATCCCACCTGAGCGTGACATTGACAACTCAGTGCCTAGACAGAGCCAGGAAGGAAGAGATCTTTTAAAAAGAAAAAAGGAGGGAGATTGTGGCTTTTGGTTGAATTTTCTTTGGGTTCTGGAAGAATTCTTTTCTCACCTGATGAGGAACACTTCAACGAGAAAGTACAAATATTAGTTTTATTAACACACTTGAATGGCACAGTCTGAAAATGGCACTGTCACACATTTGGCTGACAAAAAAACGTATGTTTTTTCATGCAAATTTACTTCAGAATAGCCACATCAAAAGTGAACAAAGTTTCCAACTGCTTAGCATATGGGACAAATTTAGTTTCCAACTGGTTGGCATATGGCATACTTAGCTTTTTTATCAGTTGGCACAAAGCAAACACTGTTGATAGTAAACTTGGTTTCTTCTTCCCTGCTTTGTCACTGACAGTGAAATTCATTCACCTTTAGGCTTTTGAGCTTTAACAGCAGATTTTCACATGCAAATATTCTCTGCATGCTGCAAAGAAACTGAAAAGCATCCACACATATTCACATCAAGCAGCTCACAATTTTCTGAAAACTGAAATGGCCATGCAAGAATGATGAAAATGGGCATGCATGTTAGTTCTGCATACTTCCCAAATTCCCTCTGTACTAAATTGTGTGTTGGGTGGCTAAACTACAATGATCAAGTCATATTTGTTTCTTTCTTCTGTTAACTGTTTCATGTTGTCTCTAGACTATTTTCTGAGACACCCGCCCAAAGAATGATGATTTTTAGACGTGTCTGTGCCTATCTTTACAATAACATGTATGTCTTTAAGCTAGCTTTCAGTAACACATCTTCTCTTCCACTTCATTTCATTTAAGTGTATAAAACTGCAAATGGTTTTTTTTGCCACCGATTTCACTGGAGCTAAGCTTCTACACTTTCACAATTGATTGTAAATGTTTATGTTTAAATAACCAGACATTCATATATATAATAAATGTATGTGAGAGAAATGTACATGTTTAATATATGCTTCATGCTCACTCAAATCCCTCTAAGATGTCTTGAAACACTCCCAATTAGAAGCCTATCTTTCGTATACATAAAAAGCACCTAAAAGTCTAATTTTAGAAATGCAAGCAGCTCTGCCCATGCATTGTCTCTCTAAATGTACCTTACCCATGACTGTACACTGGACACTGCCTATGAGAAAATCAAAATTATAGAGAGTTGGCAAGAAGCTGACAGACACTCTGAATCCCAGTGGTGTGCTTCTGACCACAGCTGTCAGTGTGCAGGTATAGCACAAGAGCAATTTAAAGTCAAGCCAAGATTTGAATATAACTGAGATGGAAGCTTAGGGATCCTTCAGGAGTTCATGGAATTAACAGCAGCATGAAATACTCTAAGCTTGCCACGCTGCAATGGTCCATATATACAACTGCCATTGATTCATCCTAGAATAATAATGGTTTCATATGAATTTTATATGTTTCTCTCTCAAAACAGTGTCATGCAATAACTGAAAAAGTCAACTCTAACAGCTGAGGTGGAGAAAGCAGCTGACTAAAACGTGGTCAGGACTGTTAATGTTTGTGGCACCTTGCTACAGTGCTAGTGAAGCTACAGTGAAGATTCAATAGGATAAAGTCATGGGAGATGTAAGGAATGCTTGAGAAAAAGAGAATATTCAAAAGAATTCTGTATACTAGTCAAAAAAGGAATATTCCACACATACGAGAAAGATGCAGTATCTTAGCAGAATCTAATATATAACAAAGAGTAAAGAGCAGTATACTGACACAAGCTGCTCTTTTGAGTTAAGGAGTATCAAAATCTAAGCACTTCTACAGTAAAACAAGGACACGTTGACACTCATTTTCATAGAATCAGCTAGGTTAGAGAAGACGTTTGAGATTATCAAGTCCAACCATTATCCCAGGACTGCCAAGGCCACCACTAAACTGTGTCACTGAGGGCCTCACCTACATGGTTTTTGAACACTTCTGGGATGGTGACTACACCACTTCCCTGGGCAGCCTGTTCCAATACCTGAACACCCTCTCTGTGAAGAAATTTTTCCTAATATCCAGTCTAAAGCTCCCCTGGTGTAGCCTGAGGCCGTTACCTCTTGTTCTACCACCTGTTACTTGGGAAAAGAGACCAGCCACCTCCTCTCTCTTTTTGACAGTCTCTCTTTAGGGATAATATCTCACAATCCACCTATAACCCAAATAACTTATAAACAGTGAGCTACGTCCATTAGTATTTCCCTTAAAAAGCAGTTGAAAAATCAAATCTGTCAGCAAATGCTAGCAGGAGAACAAAGCCATCAAAGTGTGTCCATCACTTGCAGTTCCATTATGTAATCCAGTGTACTGACATTGTAAGAACTTCCGAAGATGTTAAAAAAATACAATTTTCAGTGAATGCCTGGTGGTGGCCTGTTGAAAATGAGTTTGTACTCTTAGTCTCTTATATATAGGATTCATTTTCACTCCAAACAAAAGTAGTTCAGTAGTAGAGGCAATCTTTCTTCACTTGCAAATGCCATTTTTCATACTTCTCTCAAGGCTTAGTTCTCGCCTCCTTAAAACAAATGAGCAGAAGTTTCATCTGGATTAATCAGGAAGAGGAAAATTGAATGTGTATTTAAGGACTAATTTTTGAGTCACATGCCCTCTTCTTTTTCTGCCAGAACTTAATCTCTAAAAATGTATTATTGGGAAAAAATGCAAAGACTTCTCGGAAGACTGAAATATCTCAAGAACCTCATCACTAAAAGAGACAGTGTAAGAGAATGTGTAAAGACTTTGCTGTTTTGAGAGATGGTGCAAGCTGCATCTTCTGACATTTTCAAGATTTGGTCATATAAAGTCCTAGCAACCTGATCGGCTATGATCTGATCAGATGTTGGTGACAGCCCTCTTTTGAGGGAGAGGTTAGAAAGGACAGCAAGCTGCTCTCTTCTTAAAAATGTGGCTAGGGGATTACAATGTTATACAGGGACATGGAGAGTAGTGACTTTTCTTCTGATACTCAACTATGAATCAACTTTGAAGCAGACACAAGATGCTGCATCCCTAGTACCTACAGATAAGACGTCAACCCCATAGTCCTATAAACCCTCAGAGAGAATAAACATTCCTCTGGGTCTACATCTAATCCCCTGTGAGGGTAATAGATTAGGCAACTATTTATTTTCTCAGCTTTCTACTTGGAGCTGGGAGATTCATACGCCAAGTTCCTCCTGAGGATACATACACTAAGTCTGAAGATGGCTGTACCTACCCAAAGCCCTATTGGTTCAATGGTTTTGGCATTGCTTAGTCTTGGTTGTTATCTCCTTTCAGTTCCTCCACCACAGGAATCCTCTTGCTACAAATTCATCAGGGACTCTTTCTGTTCCTCCACCCCCATCCCAATCTTTTCTTCCCATTCCTTGTGATGATAAAAACTAGCACAGAGTGATTACCAGTAGGGAACTGGCTCTTTCTTCATGAAGTCAGAAATTATCTTCCTTTGTCCCCCACCCAAGTTCCTTCTCTGACTGCCTGTACTCTGGTTCCTTTGGCTCTACAACTGGGGCTGCAATGGCCTCACTGCACCCTCAGACCCTGGTGCTTCTCCATTTACCAAGATGCTTTCACTAGTCATACTTTAGGCAGTGTTTGAACCTCAGCCAGCTACTAATACATTCAGAAGGCTTCCTACTGTCCACAATGTGCAGGTGGATTGGCCTGCTTCCTTCCTCAAGTGCTAAAAAATCTGTTCCTTCTGCTCCTCTCAGAGAAGGGTTCATCTCCAATTCCTTTGTTGACTGACTTCAGAGATGTCTTGGTTATTGTTGCTCTTCTTTACTGCACATGTGCTCTTCATAAAATATTCTCCAATGAAATTACAAAAGAGGAAGTAGCTCTCTAAAAAAAATAGTAAGTTCCACTTTGCAGTTATGGGATTGCCTTCATTTCCTCTGAACACCATACCCCACGTTTTACAAGAGTAAGTCTTACAAGGCCTGATTACTTTAGTGGAACCAATTGTTTTATATGAGAAAACACTTCTGCTCAGTAATTCCAGATTTTTATACTGGGTAATGATACTGAGACGTTTCACAGAATGAGACAAAGTTCCACGGACAAAATCCATTTCCTTCTTAAGCCCAGTAGATACTGGACAGCCAAAGGATACTTCAGCAAAAATGGCATAAAATAAATTTGACTCTGAAATTTTGCTAGTAGGGGAACACACTTCCCGTTTGACTTCAGGTTCTGAATTCTGCAGAAAAATATCACATATCCATGAACATCATTCCTGCAGAGTCTTTGGAGGGTCCTATGCACAGAACCAAGGAAGCATTTTCCACCTGCAGTTTCCTCCTTTCTTGGGAAGATAGTGACCCCCATGTTCAAGGCAACTGCTTGGGGTACAAGTAATCTGGATTCTGTCCGTGGCTGTATTTCAGCTTTCCTACAACTGTCTTAAGGAAGTTAAGCCTCAGTTTCTCTATCTCTTAAATGGGATTCACAACATTTCCTAAGGATAGTAAAAGTTGAGATTTTAAATCATTATGGAGCCTAAGGAACTTGGTTTATAGTCTAGAGGCCATGGCACAAAATCTAAAAATAAGCCTGCTGGCTGTTGGCTGATATCAAATAACCTGGTCACCTCCAGATGAGAAAGCGTGCCCTGCTCCTTACTTCATACAATCTTCCCAATGCTTTTAGTAGGCCTGCAACAGCATCC